ACCACCAATCTTTAACGGTCACACAACACACACACACACCACCACCAATCTTTAACGGTCACACAACACACAACACCACCACCACCAATCTTTAACGGTCACACAACACAACACACACCACCACCAATCTTTAACGGTCACACAACACACAACACACACCACCACCAATCTTTAACGGTCACACAACACACACACACACCACCACCAATCTTTAACGGTCACACAACACACACACACACCACCACCAATCTTTAACGGTCACACAACACACAACACACACACCACCACCAATCTTTAACGGTCACACAACACACAACACACCACCACCACCAATCTTTAACGGTCACACAACACAACACACACCACCACCAATCTTTAACGGTCACACAACACACAACACACACACCACCACCAATCTTTAACGGTCACACAACACACACACACACCACCAATCTTTAACGGTCACACAACACACACACACACCACCACCAATCTTTAACGGTCACACAACACACAACACACACACCACCACCAATCTTTAACGGTCACACAACACACAACACACACACCACCACCAATCTTTAACGGTCACACAACACACAACACACCACCACCACCAATCTTTAACGGTCACACAACACACAACACACCACCACCACCAATCTTTAACGGTCACACAACACACAACACACACCACCACCAATCTTTAACGGTCACACAACACACAACACACCACCACCACCAATCTTTAACGGTCACACAACACACACACACCACCACCACCAATCTTTAACGGTCACACAACACACAACACACCACCACCAATCTTTAACGGTCACACAACACACACACACCAGCACCAATCTTTAACGGTCACACAACACAGCACACACCACCACCAATCTTTAACGGTCACACAACACACAACACACCACCACCAATCTTTAACGGTCACACAACACACACACACCACCACCAATCTTTAACGGTCACACAACACAACACACACACCACCACCAATCTTTAACGGTCACACAACACACAACACACACACCACCACCAATCTTTAACGGTCACACAACACACAACACACCACCACCACCAAGCTTTAACGGTCACACAACACACAACACACACACCACCACCAATCTTTAACGGTCACACAACACACACCACCACCAATCTTTAACGGTCACACAACACACAACACACCACCACCAACCTTTAACGGTCACACAACACACAACACACACATCACCACCAATCTTTAACGGTCACACAACACACACACACACACCACCACCAATCTTTAACGGTCACACAACACACAACACACACACCACACCACCAATCTTTAACGGTCACACAACACACACACCACCACCAATCTTTAACGGTCACACAACACACACACACCACCACCAATCTTTAACGGTCACACAACACACACACCACCACCAATCTTTAACGGTCACACAACACACAACACACCACCACCACCAACCTTTAACGGTCACACAACACACAACACACCACCACCACCAAGCTTTAACGGTCACACAACACACAACACACACACCACCACCAATCTTTAACGGTCACACAACACACAACACACACACCACCACCAATCTTTAACGGTCACACAACACACACCACACACACCACCACCAATCTTTAACGGTCACACAACACACAACACACCACCACCACCAATCTTTAACGGTCACACAACACACAACACACACACCACCACCAATCTTTAACGGTCACACAACACACAACACACCACCACCACCAATCTTTAACGGTCACACAACACACAACACACACACCACCACCAATCTTTAACGGTCACACAACACACAACACACCACCACCAATCTTTAACGGTCACACAACACACACACACCAGCACCAATCTTTAACGGTCACACAACACACAACACACCACCACCACCAATCTGTAACGGTCACACAACACACAACACACACACCACCACCAATCTTTAACGGTCACACAACACACAACACACCACCACCACCAATCTTTAACGGTCACACAACACACAACACACCACCACCACCAATCTGTAACGGTCACACAACACACAACACACACACCACCACCAATCTTTAACGGTCACACAACACACACACACCACCACCAATCTTTAACGGTCACACAACACACACACCACCACCAATCTTTAACGGTCACACAACACACAACACACCACCACCACCAACCTTTAACGGTCACACAACACACAACACACCACCACCACCAAGCTTTAACGGTCACACAACACACAACACACACACCACCACCAATCTTTAACGGTCACACAACACACAACACACACACCACCACCAATCTTTAACGGTCACACAACACACAACACACACACCACCACCAATCTTTAACGGTCACACAACACACAACACACCACCACCACCAATCTGTAACGGTCACACAACACACAACACACACACCACCACCAATCTTTAACGGTCACACAACACACAACACACCACCACCACCAATCTTTAACGGTCACACAACACACACACCACCACCAATCTTTAACGGTCACACAACACACACACCACCACCACCAATCTTTAACGGTCACACAACACACAACACACCACCACCAATCTTTAACGGTCACACAACACACACACACCAGCACCAATCTTTAACGGTCACACAACACACAACACACCACCACCAATCTTTAACGGTCACACAACACACAACACACCACCACCAATCTTTAACGGTCACACAACACACACACCACCAGCAATCTTTAACGGTCACACAACACAACACACACACCACCACCAATCTTTAACGGTCACACAACACACAACACACACACCACCACCAATCTTTAACGGTCACACAACACACAACACACCACCACCACCAAGCTTTAACGGTCACACAACACACAACACACACACCACCACCAATCTTTAACGGTCACACAACACACACCACCACCAATCTTTAACGGTCACACAACACACAACACACCACCACCAACCTTTAACGGTCACACAACACACAACACACACACCACCACCAATCTTTAACGGTCACACAACACACACACACACCACCACCAATCTTTAACGGTCACACAACACACAACACACACACCACCACCACCAATCTTTAACGGTCACACAACACACAACACACACACCACCACCAATCTTTAACGGTCACACAACACACACACACCACCACCAATCTTTAACGGTCACACAACACACACACCACCACCAATCTTTAACGGTCACACAACACACAACACACCACCACCACCAACCTTTAACGGTCACACAACACACAACACACCACCACCACCAAGCTTTAACGGTCACACAACACACAACACACACACCACCACCAATCTTTAACGGTCACACAACACACAACACACACACCACCACCAATCTTTAACGGTCACACAACACACACCACACACACCACCACCAATCTTTAACGGTCACACAACACACAACACACCACCACCACCAATCTGTAACGGTCACACAACACACAACACACACACCACCACCAATCTTTAACGGTCACACAACACACAACACACCACCACCACCAATCTTTAACGGTCACACAACACACAACACACACACCACCACCAATCTTTAACGGTCACACAACACACAACACACCACCACCAATCTTTAACGGTCACACAACACACACACACCAGCACCAATCTTTAACGGTCACACAACACACAACACACCACCACCACCAATCTGTAACGGTCACACAACACACAACACACACACCACCACCAATCTTTAACGGTCACACAACACACAACACACCACCACCACCAATCTTTAACGGTCACACAACACACAACACACCACCACCACCAATCTGTAACGGTCACACAACACACAACACACACCACCACCAATCTTTAACGGTCACACAACACACACACACCAGCACCAATCTTTAACGGTCACACAACACACACACCACCACCAATCTTTAACGGTCACACAACACACAACACACCACCACCACCAATCTTTAACGGTCACACAACACACAACACACCACCACCACCAATCTTTAACGGTCACACAACACACAACACACACACCACCACCAATCTTTAACGGTCACACAACACACAACACACACACCACCACCAATCTTTAACGGTCACACAACACACAACACACACACCACCACCAATCTTTAACGGTCACACAACACACAACACACCACCACCACCAATCTGTAACGGTCACACAACACACAACACACACACCACCACCAATCTTTAACGGTCACACAACACACAACACACCACCACCACCAATCTTTAACGGTCACACAACACACACACCACCACCAATCTTTAACGGTCACACAACACACACACCACCACCACCAATCTTTAACGGTCACACAACACACAACACACACACCAGCACCAATCTTTAACGGTCACACAACACACAACACACACCACCACCAATCTTTAACGGTCACACAACACACACACACCAGCACCAATCTTTAACGGTCACACAACACACAACACACCACCACCACCAATCTGTAACGGTCACACAACACACAACACACACACCACCACCAATCTTTAACGGTCACACAACACACAACACACCACCACCACCAATCTTTAACGGTCACACAACACACAACACACCACCACCACCAATCTGTAACGGTCACACAACACACAACACACACACCACCACCAATCTTTAACGGTCACACAACACACAACACACCACCACCACCAATCTTTAACGGTCACACAACACACACACCACCACCAATCTTTAACGGTCACACAACACACACACCACCACCACCAATCTTTAACGGTCACACAACACACAACACACACACCAGCACCAATCTTTAACGGTCACACAACACACAACACACACCACCACCAATCTTTAACGGTCACACAACACACACACACCAGCACCAATCATGTTTTCCTCTCTTCCCCTCCCTCCCTCGCCCTTCTCCAAATAGAGCAGCCTCCCGCAGGGAAGTCTATCAGTAGAGCGGCACACACGAAGCAACAGCACACAGAGAGGGAGGGAGAGTAACGCACAACTTCTCCTTACACGCTGTCGCCACTTTCCGCCCTGTTGCCCTGGTCGTGTAAATAGCCTGAAGGTTACGCCAGCTAAACCGATATTGTATTAACATCTGCAACAAGAACAACCGCAACAACAGCAGCGGCAACATTCGAGTCCGGTTATTTTTTTGTGGCGGGTTTTGTTGTTGTTGTCGTTGTCGATCCCGGTGCACCGACCGTGTGTCTGAACGTTCTCCGCTTGGCGAGTCAAAGTGGCCACGTCAGAGATGTCGGCGATGGAGCTGAAGGCCCTGCTGAGGGGTCCCCACACCCTGGACCACTTAGAGAAGCAACTCATCTGCCCCATCTGCCTGGAGATCTTCTCCAAGCCTGTGGTCATCCTGCCCTGCCAGCACAATCTCTGCCGCAAGTGCTGCAATGACATCTTTCAGGTGAGCTCCAGGCCCATCATCGGCGTGTTCCGTTCGCGCTGAGCTTGTCACGTTTATATATATAGAGAGAGAGTGAGAGTGTCCAAAACAAACTCAGCGCGTTCGTCAATGACACCGGGGCCTTCGAATGGGGAATTATATCTTCGGTGACGGGGGCAGTGGATCTTCTTCACAGCTTTAAATTTGCTTTGAAGAAGGGCCGTCAGCCGAAACGTCGCCTATTATATACTCGTTTTCTTTTATAAGCCACGGTGTTTCTTGACAGAGTTGTTATTTTGTTGTTTGTGCTTGTGCACCACGCAGCATCACCAACAATAGTTTGTTTTTAAATATTTAAAAAGTTCAAGTTTATTTGTTTAACCGGGTGAAAACTCAAAAGAGACGAGGATGATGTCACTTGTAAGAGCGACCTGTCCACGAAGCCACGACACTGGAAAGGGATGCGTGACGAAACAACGACACTTTGCTGTCGGAGGTGAAGGTGCAGCCCTGCAACTTGTCACTCACGACACTGCTGGCAGACGAGCCTCGACTAGAGGGAGCTCTACAGGGCTCCCTCTCTCTAGGTTCGAGGGGACATTTAAACCTACTCTTCCACACTGGCCGGATGGCTTGGAGGAGGCGGCAATTACTCACACTTTACCCCACGTGACCTTTGCAGCCGGAGTGCAGGCGAATGCCAACAAGGGAGGGATATTTCGTTCCCGGACCGGACTAGTTTTTTTTTAATTACAAAAACCGCATCGCCATCGGCACCAATGCCCCCCCCCCCCGCCTAATGGAGACGTTGCCACGTTTATTCAAAAGGAAAAAATATACTCGTGAAAAACTAGCACTCATCAAGGTGGCATTGATACCCAGAGAATCTGCCTGCTCACAAATAGCCACACGGCTGCACTCCTATTCGCAGCATTCAGCCAGTGGTGATCGTTCCACATTTGTATGATGGGACCAGACCAATACGGAGGGCAAAATAAAATAAATAACAATGAATGGGCTGTATTGGTAGTGCACAAGGATAGATTTGATTGGTTTTTTTTTCATCTACCAAAATGTGAGTTTAACACATAGGCTTTCGCGACCAATATCATCCATAATACAGCGGGTTTTTTTGGTTAGATCGCGTAAATGTGATCTCCAACTATGAGTGCAAATCTCTGCCCTCAACTTTGAAGGACAGTTACCTAAGAACATGTTCCTGCTCTACGTTTCTGTTACATGGCAATGTTAATGATGGGCCGAGGAAGATTTTTTTTTAATCAACAGGAGTCACCGTTGGCTTTACAAAAAAAAAAATGAACTTCTTTATTTTTTTTTCCCCTGCTTGATGGATGCAATTTTCGGATTTGGCAAATTTGGCAAATCCTGAAACCGGCACACAATGGCATCCTCTTGCACAATTACGTCAGGGGATATTTCGTGTCCGCCGTGAGTGAAGCAGACGACGTGTAGTCGTATCACAACGGATCACACCGCGGTGGCGAGATGTTAACTACCTCGCCTGGTATGAAGGAGGTCGTTGGTTCCATCCCGACTCTGCTGATGCCTGTTTGCATGTTTTCCCTGTGGTCTCGTGGATTTTTTTCACCGCGTCCTCCGGATTTTTCCACCACATTTAGAAACCTGCGTTTGGAGTATCGGGCTGCTAAAAAATGTCCACGTGATAAGCCACTTCGTTGAGCTATCATCGCGGCCAGGTCGCTTCTGAAAAAGCGCTATACCGCTCAGTGGGCTTTACCTGGTACAATAAAAAAAATAGTTTATAATTTATAAGCAGCGCCTGGGCGCTGGATTCGAACCACGAACCTCAGCAACAACAAGAAGTGGCGATCGCGCCACCGCTGGGCGGTGTCGCGACCTCTGGTTCTCAAGCTGTGGTCCTGCAGACCGCCGGCGCTCCGCAAGCTGGGTGAAGTAGTCCGCACAACGATCGCGGACACCGGGACCGCGGCTTTTGCGAGGCTTTCCCCGCTCGCGAAAAAAAAAAACATTCCCCGGGGTATTGCCTCACCGGCGTGGCTCTTGCGGGAATGGGAGCGTCGATCCTCAATGTTATTCCCGGTTGTTGAGTGACACAGTGGCCACACTTATCCGACGACGAGCAGGTAAACACAGGCGCTAATTAAACGTTTGTTTACGCCGGCTCGGTGCTTGGAGGCGTGCTGTTCTGTGTGGCAATATAAACGCAGGCCTAATTTAAAGCCACACACCTATTTGAACACTCACTCAGCGCTTGTTCGTTTGAAACACATTCATACCGCATACAACTCAACGAGACACGCAATACGTCTATTCCGGAGCTGTAGTTGGGTTCTCAGCAAGGGCTAACATCAGTGGCGACTGATGCCTGAACCGGTGCTGGCTTCTCCTCTTACTAACCTGCACTGACCAGCGTGGTTACGTATGGTCGAACAGGCCCCACGGCTGCACGAAAAGACGATGATCCAGACGTGGATTGGCAAAGTGGCAGAAATTATGTCGTTCGACAACGGAAATGAAATTATCCAGGACGTCACTTGATTGAACAACAGTGACAATTTTCACAATCATTTTCCTTTATTTTTCCAGGAATCCTCACAACGATTCTTTTCATAATAATACATTACTTTTATATATATATATGGTCCAGCTTGTGATGTTTAGCCAGTTACTTGATGAGTGTTCATTGTATGGGGGAGGAAACAGGAGTCTCTGCGGACTTAAAAAAAAAACATTCTGACCGCCCCAGTCCCCGCACTTTGGGGGGGCCCGCGCTTCGGCGTCACAGTGTCAGATGTAATACTTCCGGTTTAGTTTGAAGGCGTCGGGGGTGGTGGGGGGCCACACAGTATGCTTAGCCCCGCCGCCCCCCATGGACAGCCCTGCCGATAGGTCAGCAACTCATTAGCTCTTCCTACATCTACCGTCCACGTGGCAGCACAGCAAGCCGGGCATTCTCACGGGTCCCGGGATACGGGACAAAACGCGTGACCCAGACCCTCGCAGAGCGCCTGGGGTCACTGACGGCATGCGCCGCCACGGAGAACCCGCGCAGCTCTCAGCAGCCGGTGCTCCGGGCGGTCAGAGCCGATGGTGATTGAGCGGCTACACGAGGCCCGGTCCCCATAACTCGCCGTGGATTATAAACTATCCAAACATTTAATACATATATTTATTATACCAGGTAACAAGGCCCACTGAGCTGCGTAGCTCTTTTTCAGAAGCGACCTGAACACAAATGATGGCCCAACGAGGTGGCTTGTCACGTGGCAATGTACAGCAGGCGAATACTCGAAACGCGAGTTTCTAAATGCGGAAGCAAAAAACTGGAGGGCCTGGAGGGAAAAAATCCACACGACCACGTGGAGAGAGACACGCGAACTCCATTTCGAACCCACGACCTCCTGTATAGCAGGCGAGGGAGTTAACATCTCGCCACCGTATTTATTTATTTTAGGGAGTCACGATCCAAACAGCTGCAGAAACCTTAATCCGTCACCCAACCGCCAGATTTATCCGACACCCTCCCTCTAGACCCCCTACCGCCTCCACCACGAGGCCTCTCCCCCCACCACCCAACAGCCCCATTAACCCCCCCACAGAACCCCAAGGCCAAGACTCCACTTACAGAGCCCTGGGGGTCCAGACGAAGGAACGCATTTTAACTTTGGCTATTTGCAGCCGTGGAAAAAGTGAAAACACAATTTTACCAAGGGTGCTATTCACCCTGCGGACGGAATGTAAGGAATGCGCGGAGTTATTTAGTGGATTTAAACTGCTGTGGCGCCGCGACATTCACAATTACAATTTGGGAAACTGTACAAAATTCCAAATGATTAATGGCAATGCGGCCTATTTAATAATGCACCGTACACTACTTGTAATACGTAATACGGTATTAATAAATAATAGCCCTTATATGCCCTCATGCGCATGTCCCCAATCACGTGTGAGCGAATGCCTGTACGTACACATGTACGTATGAATGTTTGTACGAACAGTATACATAACGCATGCGTGCATGCGTTAATTTGTGGATGTGCACACTCGTAGTGGAGTAATCCTGCGACTCCCGTGAGCCAGGGACCGGAGCCGCATGCGGCTTCTTTAAGGACTGCCTCGTGACGGTTATTTGCCAAGGATCCACCGGTCTCGTATCCACGTGCAATGCGGCTCTTGAAATATTGAGGGGGGAGGGTGGGTGGGGGGTTGACAAAAGTCGAATTTTGACGGCCTCTACGGACGCCGAAATTCTAACTCCTGCGGAAGACTTCACGGCGCTTGACACCTCGCCCGTCGTCCCCACTGATGTCATCTACCCTCACCCCTCCCTCCGAATGTGTGCACATACTACTGACTATTCCATGTAGGGTGTGTAGGCATGTATGCCTACAAAAGAAGAACAATTGGGGGGTGGGGGGGTCGACAATTCTTTGAGACCTGTTTGGATCAACTTTTTACCCCCACATCTGGTGGCGGGGGTGGGGGGGTCCACTTTCTATAACTTTTTGATTCAGGCCTTCTGAAAGGCTCTTTAGCATTTCGTTGTCGAACAAACGGACCGCCGGGCTTTTATAATAGATGCGAATAAAAATGCCTCTTCTTGTTATTTTGGTTGCCGACCACTGGGCACGTGGGAGTAAAACGGAGTACCTGGAAGAAAAAAAACCCTTGCTTATGAATGGATAACAGCCAACACTCCACACGGATAGATTAAAAAAGCACTTTTTTTTACTAAACTAAACTTTTTAGTTCATCAGGCAAGGCTCACTGAGCTCTATAGCTATTTTTCAGAAGCGACCTGCCCATCACAAATGATAGCTCAACGAAGTGGCTTTTCACGTGGAAATTCGTAGCAGCCAAATTACTCTAAACGCGTGTTGTTGATCCTAAATGTGGAGGAAACAACCGGATGACCCGGAGAAAAATCCACGCCACCACGGGGCGAGAGAGAGGGAGAACACGCAAATTACAAATATACAAGCATCAGGATGGGGTTTCCCCTTTCTGGCAATAAAACAGGTGTTAAGATGTTAAAACACAAAACCGAAACCCTTGCAAGGAATCATGTCTGCATTAACCACATATACTTGTGGTGAACATGCAAAATAAAACCATGCTCTGACAGTACGTGCATTGTCTTTGCAACTGATTGGTCCACACCAGAGACAGCTTTATTTAGAGCCTTGTCTCAAACCGTGTTAGACCAGACGACGCCAAAGGCGAACAGCACAAAGACAATGCACTATCAGGACATGCAGACATGATTCCTTGCAAAGATTTCAGCTTGGTATTTTAACATCTTAACAACTGTTTTATTGCCAGAAAGGGAAAAAACCCCTATTATCATAATTTAATACTGTCAAAGGAGTTCTCATGATACATCACGATCGGGATTGTACCCACGACCTCCTGTATACCAGGCGAGGTAGTTAACACCTTGCCACCGTGGCACCAGCGTTGCAGCCTAACCCGACATCACCCGGTCGTGCTCGGCAGCCTCCCATGCAAATCGCTAACCCAGGCTCAACCCACGCTTAAGCTTTTGAGATCCAACGAGACTGGGGCCACCCCGAGGCAGATGGTACCGTCTGGGCCGTGATGTAGCCAGCCCCACGGTGCTATGTGGGCCGCAAAGGGGTGGGCCGAGCCACCCCCAACCCCACCTGACTTTATAAAATGCTTACAGCAACGTTCTTCACTCATTTTCAGAGGGGGGGGGGGGGCACTTTCACCGATAAGACATCGTCGGTGTGATGGCCGCTGGACATTGGAACACATTGGGGGTTTGGCAGCAGCACGATGGTGATGGTGATGATGGGGCGGCGTTGCCACTTGTTGTATCGTCGGGGGCCGCACTAAAGACCACCAGGGGTCCGCCAGTCGCCCACGGGCCTCGCAGTGAACGACGCTGGTGAATATCAAATGCAATGTGCAGTATGTAGGTACAATATTTAACGCCAGTAGTGGATGTCCTTCAAAGGTCACCATTTGGGTCAATACCCAACTCCGTGCGCAGCCGTCCCTCGTCTTGTATGAGGGCCTCGGAACGTGAGCAGAATGCGGGACGTGGCAAACGAGGCTCGTTTCGTCCCTCACTCTGATTGAGTTACGCTGAGCCGTGAGCTTCCTTCGTTAACAAGGCCACGCGATGGGCCTTGTGCATGTGTGTGGGATACGCGTGCTCGCCCAATTTGAAAACTGTGAACTTAAAAAAAAAATATACAGCTGGTGTTAAACGTTGCATCCACATTTTGCTAAATTGCGTACAATACGGTATTTCGTTGAATCAGCTATTTACACGACAAGGCAAGGGCATGTGTGCGTACTTTTTTTTTAGGAATGTGGAATGTCCACCGCTGGTTCGTCACTGTAAAGTGGAATAAGCAATACCACGTGCTCAATTGAAACTCTGATAAAAAAAAAATTGCTTCATCTTTTGCCATTTTGGTGACTTTCCCAGGTGATGACTCTTGCAAACGAGTCACTCATCCACGTGTCACGAGTTCTCACCTCACGAGCCACCCTAAATCGCATCCCCACAAACCGTGGCAGATGCGGATATCTGATGCACAAATGGAAAATTTAAAATTATCCAGTGGTCACCCAGAACAGGACCGTACAATATTATCATGGCGCAAATGCCCCATCCACAAACACGAAAGAGACATCACAGCGACACACTGTGCGAACTGATTTTTTTGTGTTCAGTGTTGTTGTGGTCTTTCCACAGCACCTCCGATTAGCACGGCTGGCTACGTACGGTGTGAAAGAAAGAAGTTCAACAGGCATAACGCATACTCCGCGGTTGGCTGCCTTGACCAGCTGAATGTTGATTTTGCAGTTGTTGCTCTTGCACGTCCATCAGCAGCCATGCGGAAAAACATAATGAAATAAGTAATCTTTAAAAATACTTTCTTAAAAACACGCTTTAATGAAATGTACCGTACGAGTAATGGCAGAACTCCACGACTCCAGGAAGTGGTCCCGAAACTTGCCACAACGTAAGGGGGCAGTGGTGATTTATAGTCAACGTCAGTTGAGCGTGGACAATTAGACCCAAGCCGAAACATAACATATACAAAAAGATTGTTTAAAAATATCTTTTTAATTTTTAATGATAGAATATAGTATTGTCACCAGTATGACATCAGTCGATACCACATTGGGAAGTGGGTGAAAATTGATTGACAAGATTTGAGGATACAATAACAACAACAACGGACAGAGTGAGTTAAATAAAAGCGCGTGAAAAAAAAGAGCCACGTGCTTCAACACAATCAGCGACTCGGCCACGACTGCCAAGATTTCACAACTACTCATACTGGCTCACCCCCCCATCCAGCACCCCACCCCAGTGCCACATTATCATAGTGGAGTGCTGATAAATGGAGATACACACGGCGTGGTTGGAGGCAACCCGTTAATGAACACTTCCTTAAATCGGGACTTTTCCGGAACTGGCTCTGTAGTCGGTGTAGACGTCTCTGTCACGACGGAACCGCCTAAACACGAGGCCATTGAAGATCCACGACCCGGCGACGTGACCGGACCCACCGAACGTCAGGGGCCGTCCATAAATGACGTCATGCACCTGGGGGGGGGGGGGGGGGTCAGACATTTGTGACGATGTGTGACGAGGGGGTTGAGAAATGTGACGTCACATCGAAATGCGCAACTTTAAATGAATATAGACAACACGTTCTACTTAATTAAATAGACTTTTTTCATAAACGTTTTCTCCTACAACATCAGAGTGCAGCGCCACATTAAATACGCACTACAATGACAATAGTTTAAAGCGATTTGAAGCATATTCTTGGTTCTTTCGGTAAAGTCACGTAGAAGGGAAACAATAAAATAATTATAAATATAAATATATATATTTTTATTCTTTAATTGTTTCCCTTCTACGTGACTTACCGAAATAACCAAGAAGGGAAACAATAAAAAAAATTATATATTTTTATTCTTTTATTGTTTCCCTTCTACGTGACTTACCGAAATAACCAAGAATATGAATCCCTGCAGTCACGAAACTTTAAATCAAGATTTGAAGCATGTTTTATTTTTCTTGGGGGGGGGGGGGGGGTCTGACTTTTTGTGACGCCGTGTGACGAGGGGGGGGGGTCAAAAATCGTCCAAAATCGCGTGACGTCATTTATGGACGGCCCCTTACCCACTAAATCAACCCTCGATCATCTCCGCGTTTCCCTTTTATCTTGTTGAGCGCTCTATCCCCCTAGTGGCAGATAGAGCGTCACTACACTCGTAGCAAAAGTAGCATACGCAACGGGACACGTTTTCCTTCCCTCTTTGTTTAATGTTTGGGCGCCTAGTATAAAACGATTGCAGCATTCCATACAAACCAAGTCAGCATACTCGGGCATCATGAACTACCAACGAGCCGTGCCGGATTCATGATCCGAGTAGCAAAAGTAGCTACAACACGTGTAGTAGCTACACGTGTTGTAGCTACTACACGTGTTGTAGCTACTACATATAGTAGCTACTACATGTAGTAGCTACAACACGTGTAGTAGCTACAAGACGTGTAGTAGCTACTACACATGTAGTAGCTACAACACGTGTAGTAGCTACAACACGTGTAGTAGCTACACGTGTAGCTATAACACGTGTAGCTACAACACGTGTAGCTACTACACGTGTTGTAGCTACGGGCCCCGCACTTTCAAGGGCCCCGCGCTAAATGCTTTCAAGCTATCAATTCCCGGTTCAGTGATTCTACACTTGCTCTATTGCTATAGTACTATACCGCCTAAATTTTTGATGAACGACTGGGTGTTTAAGGTTATCGATTTGTCGTATTATCTGGCCTGTATAGCAAATGAAATAACTACAATTACTTTACTGTGCAAGTTAAACATTTATGTGTTTTAATATTTAAGTGTTTTTTTTTTATTTAGGGCACCCTTTATAACATCACATGCTACAGGCACTGACCCCCACCTCTCTCCCAGGCGGCCAACCCGTACCTCCAGGGCCGCACGACGTCCGTGGGCTCGGCGGGGCGCTTCCGCTGCCCTTCGTGCCGCCACGAGGTGGTCCTGGACCGCCACGGCGTCTACGGCCTCCAGCGCAACCTCCTCGTCGAGAACATCATCGACATCTACCAGCAGGAGTCCACCACGCGGTGCGCATTCAATCGCACGCGGAAGGGGGAACAACGATCAGCCAACCGCGTAGCCATCATGCGCCTCCGATGAGCACGGTTGGCTGTGTACGGTGCGCGCGCTTACGGAAAGTGTCGGGGCAAGCGCTGTTTCGTAGCGAGTAGCAACGTACACAGGCGGGCATGGCACGCGATGGGCTTGGGTGGCCAGCGCCACGCCCGACCGCCTTTGTCTCCCACGCACTGCACCAGGTACTCATTTGAGGCTGATAATCGTCACCGGTGTTGGCCGTTGAGCTTTCCAATAGCGCTGTTGGCTGCCCTTGTCCTCTTTGTTGAATTAATTCGATTCTGGACCGCCGCACCTTTTCAATATATGAAAGCTACCAACATTTATTTGAGTCTCTCCTGGGACACATGAGGATCTGGCGGCCCCTCCCTCCACGGGCCCCACGTACTTTTGCATGACCATGCTCACTTAATAGCGAGCCCAGCCAACAGAGTGAGTGGCCTCCCTCCCTCCTACTGACACAGGCCCCCATCTACTCCTCTGCCAACCCACGCCCACTGCTCAGGTAGCGTCACCCTTTGGACCGTGACTCTATAGCGAGGCCCGGGACATTTTTAACCGGGAGGGAATCATGGTTAATTTTTTTTTTGCAAATGCTTCGACACGCCGGAACAGCCTTTACCGTGGTATAAATGCTCATTAATGGAGCTGACCTACCTCCCCAAAATAGGCCCGCAGATCTTGGACAATGGTTGGCGCCGGTTCTGGCTGCCTTCCTGCTCATCTGTGTTTTCCCACGCCTCTGAATCTAATGAAAAATGTGCAGCGCATTACAAATTTGCGTAATTATTTGTATCAGTTATTCCGGATTGTCCCAGCAAAAACCACAGCTATATGGTACGCTGAGTTATGCATAGGCTGCTGGCTCAAGCGCTGTTAGCCAGCAGCTGTCAAGGTTGGAATGGCACAAAACTGGTTGCTCTGGTCCGAATCGTGCCGGACAGTCTCTGTCTCGCCAGTGCTGATGTACACACAGCAGCACGGACCACCGTGCTGCTGGGGAAACCCGGGACATGTCCAGAGAGCACTTGAAGACTCACGTTTGTCGATGGCGAGTGTCAACGCAGTGTGCCAACCACTGCACCACCGCTGCGCGCACAACAACATCCAAGCACCACTAAACCGTGCTCATTGGCTGTCGGGTCGGATCGAGGAGGGCTTGCCTGAGAGGTTATATTAACAAAAAGAGAAGCGGCTCCGTCCGTGCGTGTCTCCACATGGCACCGTGGGACCGACACGGGCAGCGCAGAATCGGCCACAGAGCTCGCACGTGATAACTGACGGATGCCAGGTCCCTTCTGGACGCGTGAAGGGTTGTTGTTGTTGTGGAGGGCAGAGGGGCTTCCGTGCCGCTCTCTCTCTCTCTCTCCCCTCAGCAGCTGCTGTCGCTCGTCGGCTTTCAAATCCTGCCACGGCGCCGCGAGGCACAGACGATCGCCACGGGAACCTTTTCCTCGGCGCCGTCCGTCTCGTCGCAGTCACCCCGCTGCCGGTGTGGCACTCGGGAGGCGGTGGCTTTCGCGTGGCCTTGCAAGCGTCCGATTTGTCCATCGGCAGGGCGCTTGCCCACGCTCAGTTCTCCCCGTGTGGCGGGAGTTTTATGGAAACTGCCAGGTGTCATCCGTTCGGAGAATGTGTCAACTCCCATAAATAAATGCACCGTTTAAAAATAAATGTATGCAAACCAACACACCTGAAGACGACCGTTTGTGTTATGGTCGAAACGTCGTGAGAATTTTTACTGTTTTATATATATTTCATTATTTTGTTGTTTCCCTTCAACGTGACTTTACCGAAAGAGCTAAGGATATGAATTACTGCAGTCACGAAAGCTTTAAATCAAAATTTAAACTCCCATCTTATATGTGCCCTGGGTACCAGGCCCTGTCCATAGGCGGGGTTGGGAGTGTGGAGCCCGGGGCGAATCACGCCGTGTGGGCCCCCCCGACGGCCTTCGAACTAAACCCGGAATATTCCATCTGGCACTGCGATGTAGAAGTGCGTGGCCCACCCGCCCCAAATCGCGGGCCCCTTGGAGGCCGCCCCGACTCGCCGTGGCACCCTCAGGGCAACTCTGCCTGAAGGGGTAGGCTCAGTGCGGGACTAAGCTAGTGCGGGGACCTGTAGCATGTGTTTTAAAAGGGGCTCTAAATAAAATAAAAAAACAACACGTTAAAACACAAATTATTTACTTGTAAAGTAATTGTTTATTTTAATTTGTTATACAGCCAGATAATACGACAAATCACTCACCTTAAACACCCAGTCGTTCATAAAAGTTGAAGGAAGTATAGCACTATAGTGATAGAGCTAGTGCAGAATCACTGCACTGGCATTGATAGCTTGAAAGGATTTAGCGTGGGGCCCATGGAAGTGTGGGGCCCGTAGCTACTACTACTACATGTGTAGCTACTACTACATGTGTAGCTACTACTACTACATCATGTGTAGCTACTACTACTACATGTGTAGCTACTACTACTACATGTGTAGCTGCTACTACATGTGTAGCTACTACTACATGTGTAGCTACTACTACATATGTAGCTACTACTACTACTACATGTGTAGCTACTACTACATGTAGCTACTACTACATATGTAGCTACTACTACTACTACATGTGTAGCTACTACTACATGTAGCTACTACTACATGTGTAGCTACTACTACATATGTAGCTACTACTACATATGTATCTACTACTACATATGTAGCTGCTACTACATGTGTAGCTGCTACTACACGTGTAGCTACTACTACACGTGTAGCTACTACTACTATATATGTAGCTACTACTACATATGTAGCTACTACTACATATGTAGCTACTACTACATGTGTAGCTACTACTACATATGTAGCTGCTACTACATATGTAGCTACTACTATATATGTAGCTACTACTACATATGTAGCTACTACTACATGTGTAGCTACTACTACATGTGTAGTAGCTACTACATATGTAGCTACGACTACATGTGTAGCTGCTACTACATGTGGTAGCTACTACTACATGTGTAGTAGCTACTACATATGTAGCTGCTACTAGATATGTAGCTAATACTACGTGTGTAGCTACTACTACACGTGTAGCTACTACTACATATGTAGCTACTACTACATGTGTAGCTACTACTACATATGTAGCTACTACTACATGTGTAGCTACTACTACATGTGTAGCTACTACTACACGTGTAGTAGCTACTACTATATATGTAGCTACTACTACATGTGTAGTAGCTACTACTACATGTGTAGCTACTACTACATGTGTAGCTACTACTACATGTGTAGCTACTACTACATGTGTAGTAGCTACTACTACATGTGTAGCTGCTACTACATGTGTAGTAGCTACTACTACATGTGTAGCTACTACATATGTAGCTACTACTACATATGTAGCTGCTACTACATGTGTAGCTGCTACTACATGTGTAGCTACTACTACATGTGTAGCTACTACTACATGTGTAGCTGCTACTACATGTGTAGTAGCTACTACTACATGTGTAGCTACTACTACATATGTAGCTACTACTACACGTGTAGCTGCTACTACATGTGTAGTAGCTACTACATGTGTAGCTACTACTACATGTGTAGCTACTACACGTGTAGCTACTACATATGTAGCTACTACTACACGTGTAGCTACTACTACATATGTAGCTACTACTACATATGTAGCTACTGCTACACGTGTAGCTACTACTACATATGTAGCTACTACTACACGTGTAGCTACTACTACATATGTAGCTACTACTACATGTGTAGCTACTACTACTACATGTGTAGCTACTACTACACGTGTAGCTGCTACTACATGTGTAGCTACTACTACTACACGTGTAGCTACTACTACATGTGTAGCTACTACTATATGTGTAGCTACTACTACATGTGTAGCTGCTACTACATATGTAGCTACTGCTACACGTGTAGCTACTACTACATATGTAGCTACTACTACACGTGTAGCTACTACTACATATGTAGCTACTACTACATGTGTAGCTACTACTACTACATGTGTAGCTACTACTACACGTGTAGCTACTACTACACGTGTAGCTGCTACTACATGTGTAGCTACTACTACATGTGTAGCTACTACTACATGTGTAGCTACTACTACTACACGTGTAGCTACTACTACATGTGTAGCTACTACTACATGTGTAGCTGCTACTACATATGTAGCTACTACTACACGTGTAGCTACTACTACACGTGTAGCTACTACTACACGTGTAGCTGCCACTACACGTGTAGCTACTACTACACGTGTAGCTACTACTACACGTGTAGCGGCTACTACATGTGTAGCTACTACTACACGTGTAGCTACTACTACACGCGTAGCTGCTACTACACGTGTAGCTACTACTACACATGTAGCTACTACTACATGTGTAGTAGTAGCTGCTACTACATATGTAGCTACTACTACACGTGTAGCTGCTACTACATGTGTAGCTACTACTACTACACGTGTAGCTACTACTACACGTGTAGCTGCTACTACATGTGTAGCTACTACTACACATGTAGCTACTACTACATGTGTAGCTGCTACTACATGTGTAGCTACTACTACATGTGTAGCTACTACTACTACACGTGTAGCTACTTCTACATGTGTAGCTACTACTACATGTGTAGCTGCTACTACATGTGTAGCTACTACTACATGTGTAGCTGCTACTACTACATGTGTAGCTACTTTTGCTACGAGGATAATCCGGCACTGAGTACGCTTCGAGGCTTTATTGTTGTTGTTGGTGGTCGGGCGCGTCGCAACACCTCCTCGTTTGCGATAATTTTTATTTTGTTTTCCCTGCACATTTTTTAATTTGTCGAATTCTCCACAAGAGCCGCGCGGGTGTTGTGAAGAGAGATTCCCAGCTGTGGATGACACGTTTCGCGGCCGCAGACAGCAGCCACCGACGACAGCCTATGCCTCGGTAGACGTCGATCTTCACCAAAACTCTCAGTCCGTGTTTCCGTGTTTGTGCAGACGGCCAAAACTGTTGCCGGCTTCACGGACGCGTGCAACGGCCACCTCGCTGTCCGAGAGAGAGGGCCCCGTTAGGCAGGGATGCTGGGAAGGTTGGGTGAAAGCGCCCTCGTCAACCTTACACTGTCGATAGCGACGTTCATCTCGCCGGGTCGTCGCATCGCCTGGTGGACTCCGGGTGCGGTACCCGCGGTCTCAATGATCTCAAACCGAGATTATATAAAAAAAAAGGCCGTCGCAGCTCTGGCAAGCAAAGCAAACAAATAAATAAATGCGCCGTCGTTTCTTTCGGACTGTTTTTTCTGGCTGGGCGAACAACAGGGCGAAGTGCGTGAGGTCTTGTAAGCCGACCCTCGGATCGAACAGTTTTGCCCAGACGTGCGGAAAACGCGTGCAGATCCCAGCGTCGTCGTCCACGTGGCCTCCCGCGGCATTGCCGCGTCGAAGAGGATGCGGGGGAACCAGGAGGCAGAACGGTGGCCTCGCTTCAGGCCGCTTGCGATCACAAATCAGCCAGAAGAGCGCTCGCCTCTCGGGGAGAGAGAGACTCTTCCGCGCAAGTTGTCGCGGACTGCGCCGTACTACGTCGACAAATTTAGCTGGGCATCCCAGTTTGGATAGCGAGGCCCCGCAGGGCAGCTTTGGTTATAATCGTCAGGGCGCTTGTGCTAGGCTAGGTAAAGTTTGAGACCACACGAGGTAGTGAAAACTTGCTGACAGGAGGTCATGGGACAGAGCTCGCTGTTACGGGAAACCTAAGATGACTGACTGGCAGATGCACCAACTGCACTTCGCCCTGTGCCAGCGCACATTTGTGTGGGTGTGTTTTGTGTGGTTTGATTCAGCTGTTGCTTAACTCATTATTGCGAGCATTGCCCCTGTCTCCCGGTGTTACTGCTAGCTATCTTACACACGCAGGAGCGTACAAAGACATAGGCCATGATCCCCCGCATAGCCTTAACAGACCTGTTCGCTAGTAGCACCGATGAAGGCAATGACAGCACACGAGGGGGTGGGTGGGTGGGCCAGCACCACACCCGGCCGCCTTTGCCTCCCCAGTGGCGATGTTTACACATCACACCAGGTATTAATTTGAGGCTGAGCCGACCTATGGGGAGGCCCAGGACCGGTTCAGATCATTGTCACTGGTGTTAGCCGTGAGCGGGGAACGAACCAGGGTTGGCCAGTTCGTAGCGCAGCGTAGCGCTAACCGCTGCACGACCGCTTGGACGTACAAAGACAAAGATCCCCCGTATAGCCTTAACAGACTGTAGGGGCAAGTGCTGTTAGCGAGCACCTATGAAGGCCGGAACGGTACACGAGGGGGTGGGTGGCCAGCACCACGCCCGACCGCCTTTGTCTCCCCAGTGGCAACACGCACAGTCGCACACACGGGCCTAGGCCTCACAACCGCACGCCACCCTCTCCTCGTGTCCCACCACCCTCCTCTCGTCGTACTTTAACCCCACACTTTTTGCCCAACATCGTTTGTTGGTGGGTATTTGCTCCTGCACATGACTCCACGGCACCCAGTGGCATTGGCTCATGACACCATGGCACTGTTGATGAGATTCAATAAAGTTAATACTGGTAGTGGGTCTTAACCGGGGGTACAGGTTGCGTGGCAATGTCCCAGGGGGGTACGTGAGGTCATTTGTACATGTGTGAAATTATATAGGTGAAAGGCATTGGTGAAAAAAGTCACGGATGAATCTGCCAATATAAAATAACAACGAAAAATGTAAATCCATATGGTGACCGTGAATTATATAAAGGGCCTTTATAAACTCATTGATTATGCACAATGTGGTTTCCAAGAGTAACCAGTGAGCGCTGTCACCAATAACTGCACAAAGAAACACATTGAGCAATATATATTTGTTTTAGTTTATTTGTGAAAATTTAGGCTCTGAGCGTAAATGATCGGCTTGACCATCATGTGGTGAACATTTCTCGTGCCAGGGAATGTGGGAATGTGTGCACCCGGAGTGTCAATTAAAAAAAAAACACGTGAAAGAATTTCAGAAGTAGTTCTGTGTTACCTCCTTCTGCAGGCCGTTCTCTAACAAGGGGGTTCCACTGCTCTACAAGAATTCCAAATTGATAGTAAGCATGTGGCAATGCATCGATTATCCATACATATAAATTCGTATGCATGTTACATGCACTGAATCGTGCGTGTGAGAATGTTTCATATATAATTCACCATGCAAATAATATGCCAATGTGACATTCGGGCAAATGTATACGAACAGAAATGTGCATACGAGAAAAAAATACAAATAAGAGGGTGAAAACAAAAAAAATGTATGAACAAGAAATACATTTTCGAGTCAAACGGTCACCGCAGATAGTAATAATTCATTGAAATGCTACAAAGGTCACCCGTTCCGTGTCCACAACTCGATGTCATGTGACATCGACGACACAATTTGGATACAAACGGTCACACAATCCGTGGAAGAGAAAGGAAAGAGGCGCTAATTGTCAATTACTGTGCTCCCCCCAACTCCCTTGATCACCACCACCACTCCTACCACCACTACCACTCCCACCACCACCACTCCTACTACCACTACCACCACCACTCCTACTACCACTACCAACACCACCACTCCTACTACCACTACCAACACCACCACTCCTACTACCACTACCAACACCACCACTCCTACTACCACTACCAACACCACCACTCCTACTACCACTACCACCACCACTCCTACTACCACTACCAACACCACCACTCCTACTACCACTACCACCACCACTCCTACTACCACTACCAACACCACCACTCCTACTACCACTACCACCACCACTCCTACTACCACTACCAACACCACCACTCCTACTACCACTACCACAAACACTCCTACTACCACTACCACCACCACTCCTACCACCACTACCACTCCCACCACCACCACTCCTACTACCACTCCCACCACCACCACTCCTACTACCACTACCACTACCAACACCACCACTCCTACTACCACTACCACCACCACTCCTACTACCACTACCAACACCACCACTCCTACTACCACTACCACCACCACTCCTACTACCACTACCACCACCACTCCTACCACCACTACCACTCCCACCACCACCACTCCTACTACCACTCCCACCACCACCACTCCTACTACCACTACCACTACCAACACCACCACTCCTACTACCACTACCACCACCACTCCTACTACCACTACCAACACCACCACTCCTACTACCACTACCACCACCACTCCTACTACCACTACCAACACCACCACTCCTACTACCACTACCACCACCACTCCTACTACCACTACCACCACCACTCCTACCACCACTACCACTCCCACCACCACCACTCCTACTACCACTCCCACCACCACCACTCCTACTACCACTACCAACACCACCACTCCTACTACCACTACCAACACCACCACTCCTACTACCACTACCAACACCACCACTCCTACTACCACTACCACCACCACTCCTACTACCACTACCAACACCACCACTCCTACTACCACTACCACAAACACTCCTACTACCACTACCACCACCACTCCTACCACCACTACCACTCCCACCACCACCACTCCTACTACCACTCCCACCACCACCACTCCTACTACCACTACCAACACCACCACTCCTACTACCACTACCACCACCACTCCTACTACCACTACCAACACCACCACTCCTACTACCACTACCACCACCACTCCTACTACCACTACCACCACCACTCCTACCACCACTACCACTCCCACCACCACCACTCCTACTACCACTCCCACCACCACCACTCCTACTACCACTACCACTACCAACACCACCACTCCTACTACCACTACCACCACCACTCCTACTACCACTACCAACACCACCACTCCTACTACCACTACCACCACCACTCCTACTACCACTACCAACACCACCACTCCTACTACCACTACCACCACCACTCCTACTACCACTACCACCACCACTCCTACCACCACTACCACTCCCACCACCACCACTCCTACTACCACTCCCACCACCACCACTCCTACTACCACTACCAACACCACCACTCCTACTACCACTACCAACACCACCACTCCTACTACCACTACCAACACCACCACTCCTACTACCACTACCACCACCACTCCTACTACCACTACCACCACCACTCCTACCACCACTACCACTCCCACCACCACCACTCCTACTACCACTCCCACCACCACCACTCCTACTACCACTACCAACACCACCACTCCTACTGCCACTACCATCACCACTCCTACTACCACTACCACTCCCACCACATCCACTCCTACTACCACTACCACCACCACTACTACCACCACCACACCTACCACCACTACCACCACCACCACTCCTACCACCACCACTGCTCCTACCACCACTTCTATCACCACCACCACCACTCCTGCCACTACGCACTTTGATTCTCGCCAGCCCCATGAAGAACCTGGAGGAGCACCACCCCATGTGCGTGGAGCACGAGGACGAGAAGATCAACATCTACTGCGTGTCGTGCGAGGCGCCCACGTGCTCACTCTGCAAGGTGTTCGGGGCCCACAGGAACTGCGAGGTCGCGCCGTTGGCCACCGTCTACAAAAAGCAAAAGGTTTCTCGACAGTCGTGACGTCGTCTTGTTTCTGTTCTCTATTTCGGAACGCAATTGTGACAAAATCGAGGGATGGTGCCGGTTGTTGGTAATCACCAGCGAAACGTCGCTGTGCTCAAATTGTCGATGCTGTGGATTTACTCTCCAACACATCGGTGGGCTAAAGTAGTAACTCATTTTGCACGATTTTGTTTAAGTGAAAATCCATACTCATTGGCTGCGTCGAGCGGTGCTGGGTTAACCACCCTTTACTTGCGGCAAAAATGCAAACATGCTCTGATAATATACGCATTGTCTTTAAAACGGATTGGCCTACGCCAGCGACAGACTTATTTGTGGGTTTGTCTCACCACAAGTATTAGACCAGAGAACGCTAAACGGCAAACAGTACATAGGCAAATGCAAGTATCAAAGTATTAATAGCTCGGGTTGGTTAATGCGGACGTGATACCTTGTAATATTAATCTATTTGGTGTTTGAACATCTTAACACCTGTTTCATTGGCAGAAAGGGTCACGCTTAGTCTTGTGTTTTTCATCATTTTGAAACCGGCGAAAAGGTTCCCATCGATGTTACTTTGCTTCTTTACTCCGGGAAATCCACCAGACTCCCTTTCAGGAGGGTCCTGCCAAATGTTCTCTTATTGTTGCTGCGTGTGTGTGTAGTTTCCAATTCAGTCATTTGCGGGCATCTTTTTACATTTGGCAATTTTGAACCGTAACGTTGCCATATGATGGACTTGCATTTTTTTTACTGTCCACATCTTTAAAGTCCACTGTGAACCAAACGCCGCAAAATATTTTATAATTGACAACCCCGAGGTGTTCAGACTTATAGAGCGTCTAAATGTGACAGCATCTCAAAGACGCTATACGAATTTGGGCATGTGGCCATTGAGTTAATTTATAGAAGAGGATTTTTTTTTTAACAGAGGGAAGAGAGTCAGTGGGCCGTTGAAAGGCTGCTATGGGGGAAATAACGAAAGGAGTTGACGGAATGGTAAAGGTGCGAATGAAGTCAGCCGGCAGGTATATCGGGAGGGAATTCCAACAGGTGGGAACAGCTGCAGCAGCAGGGAAGGAGCGTGCGGATGAATGGCGATGAACGTTCCACTCATGGAATGCACTGTGAGATGTCGAGGCCCCCTCTGTGCGTGTGTGTCCGATAATCCCCCTGTGGGCAGCGGTAGCCAGGGCCGTCCATAGGGACGTACGGGGCGTTGAAGCGAAGCGTGGGGTCCCCCAAAGCGCGGGGCCCGGGACAGTCACCCCGATTCACCGTACCTTAGGGAAGGCTCTGGCGACGGGGTAGTAGTTAGCACGCCGCGCTACGAACTTGGCGACTGGAGTTCCATTGCCGCTCATAGCCAACGGTCACGAGCGATATCTAAACTGCTTCTAAGCCTCCCCTAGGTTGACTCAGCCTTAATTGAGTGCCTGGTGCTCTGTGTAAACATCAGTCCTGGTGAGACCAAGGCGGACGGAGGAGTGGAGTTATCCGGACGCACCACCCCCTCCTCGTGTGCCGTTCCGGCCTCCGTGGGAAGCTCGCTAACCTTGCCCCAACAGGCCCGTGACCTTTAATTGGTTCCGACACTCGTAATTGTGTCTCTGCAGGTTGAGCTCAGTGACGGCATCGCCCTGCTGGTGGTGGGGAACGACCGCATGCAGCTCGTCATATCTCGTCTCGAGGAGATGTGCAGAAACGTGGAGGCGAGTGGCCACCTCCGGCAGTCCGATTCTTCTCCGATTGCCTTCTCTGCCCGAGCTTACCAAACAAAAAAAAAGGAACCGAACTTTCTGTTCTCCATCTCCGTATATATTTAGAAACGTTCGGTCCATTGGCCTTGTTGGCTTTCCAGACCAAATGTTACGGAGTGGAATTTGTGTAAGCAAGCACACTCTGCGGTGGTTACGACCTTCTGGTTATCATCAGCACGGTTTGCTTGCTTCAACGAATGCTGCTGGATAGTTTTGGTGTGGGAAGCCAATATGCCTCTATCACCCGATGCAAAATGGCATTCCTTCATGCTTTGTGATGAAGGCTTTCCATTGGACACATAGAAAATGCAATCTGTAAATATATGGTTGATCCTCTAAGCTGGGATATGTGATTTTTTATATATATATAACCATAATTGTGTTACATATTTTAGCTTGTTCGTTCGTGTCGATTTTGGACCGTGGACCCATCACGCTTGAGAACCCAGTCTCTGAGGCGCTGGCTCAGCGCTCTGACCCGGTGCTCGTTCTAGTTCCCTCCGTTCTATCCGATCGTCCACTTTCCTCTTCGATTGTTCAGGTCGTCTGCAAGCATCTTGGTTGGCTACGTACAGTGCGAAAGAAGTTCAACATACATACACCTTCACTTTTACACCACCAGCTCTTCTCATCAGCAGTCTTCTTGCTGGGTAACCTGGTTCAGTTAAGCCTTCACTTCGAATAGTCACAATACAGATCGTTTGCCTTCCCTGAATCATTCCAATCTCACTTCCCGTCTCTTGAGCTCGCTCGACCACTTCCTCATTTTATTTTCCTTCCAATCAACCGATTTTCTCCCTCCAACGCCACTCCCCAAATCTCACTTGGCAGTCGCCTGCCACCGGAGTCTCATCTCGCTTGCAACTGTTACGCTCAGCTGGCACAGCCGAGACCCTGGGATCGATTCCAGGTTTCAGGTTGCAGCCACTTGTGATTAAACAGGATTTTACAGTGTAGAGATTTATGGTCTATGCCTGGTTACGAATGACTGCACAACAAGCACAAAATCAGAGCATTAAATTGTTTTTACTGAATTTTTATAAATTCGACCTCTGAGGATCGCAACACTTCTCAGTCCTATTTCCAATAAACACGTCAGCAGCAGGGTTTTGATGCTGCTTTTGTGTTACGGTGAGCACAGCGGACTCTCAGAGGTCGTCGGTTCCATCGCCTGGCACGGCAATTGAAATGCTGGAGCAGGTTTCTCCGATCAACCAGCCTCTGTCCGCCAATCAGTATGAGTGGCTTCACCACAGTTAGCCGATCGGCACGTGGCACGTGATGCGGTAAAGTACGGGTACTCTTGCTTCCTTCAAGGCATTTGGCCGGCATGGAAGGGTAGGCCGAATGCCCTCTAGAGGGCTCTCGAGAACTCGCTCAGGTGGAGGCCGCTCCATCAGAAGTGACGTAAGCAGATCCGCGCCTCGCGCCCGCTTTCATAACAGGGCTTAAGAGAAAGAGCAACACCTAGTGTGGGCGGCAGGGAAGTGAAGAGACCTAAGAAGGACATTCTCTCGCACGGGGTGCATGATGTTGTGACACTGCTTTCCTGAAAATATTATTTACGAGATTTCATGATGTGGCGTGGTGCTAATAACACAATTTTAAAATAAATTGTAGAAAAGATTAAACAAAAAGGGATTAGTATCTTGTGTTTGTTTAAGGACAGTTGGTCTGGTGGCTCAAGAAGTTCATAATGGCTGTGTTAGAGACGCTGAGATGCTCGGTTTGAATAAGAATAATAATAGCTTCAGAGCTCATTGGATTTTTCCACTAAATACAGATGCTGATTCTGAATCTTGAGTTTCTGCCTCTCGCGGTGAAACTGGCTCCTTCAGTGTCTCACAAAATACATGGTCACATTTCGATTTCAATTTGTTGACCAACGCGAATCTAAGGGCTGAAAATGTCAATACAGTGAACGTTTCTTTAACCAGAGGTGAGAATTCTAGAGACCAGGACGGGTCCCGTTTACAAGGGAGAGGCCTGCAGTTGCCAAATGTTAAAAGTAGAACAAACTAACCTCGAACAACGCAGCGCATCGGAATCAGCACAATGTATGTATGTTGACCTTCTTTCGAAGCGCATGCAGCCTACCGCATTAATCGGAGGTCAAGCAAAATTAAATCAGAGCTCCAACATTTGCTACTGACATAGCCATTTACTATACGTAATGGAACTGTGATTTTTATCCGTAAATTTATAAGTAAATGGAACTGCTTTGCCAGTGGTGCAAAAGCACAAGTGCATGTATAAGTGTAACAGAACAAGATGAGGCTGTGTTTCATTAATAAGGGTTTTTGCCCATAATCCGTACTTATAACTCAGTGTGAGCAAAAAACACCCAGAGTGTCTTTTAATAATTATGCCTAATATCCGGTTCAATGTGAGGCCCAAATAAAGTGAATGAAAGTTATCTTACGTGCTGGATAAATATAACGATTTTCCACCGGCTCACAAATTTGCTTGGGATGCGGATAGTTTTCGTCATTAGTCTGCCAAAAAAATGAAATTGTCAACTGCATGCATGAGGCAACTGCAGTGACGGGAGGAACCCCACGCACATGCAAGAGAAGCGTGTTCAAGATTTCACATTGGTCTGCGACGGAGATGGGCAACGAAGATGAGCACTTCCTTCCTTTAGGAATTGCATATACGATTCCACCCTGCAGGATTTCCCACGGGAATCGCGATTACCACATGGGCAGTTCCCGTGTTAAATTCACCATTCATCGGAATGGGATTCTGACCGGGACTGTGCCATGGAAAGGTTGTGCAATCGAATGGAATTCTACGGCAAATAGGTTGAGATTCGCCCTGTCTCTCGTGCATGCAACTCACTCTCCCGGAAACCCACTGACTAACCCCCTCTCTCACCCACTCACCCACTCTTCTATTCATCCACCCATTCACTCTCCCACTCTCCAACTTGCTCATCCACCAAGCCGCTAACTCACCCACCAACGTATTATCTCATTCACCTTATCTCTCACCCAACAACTCAGCCATCCTCAACCCACCCCACTCTTCCATTCACCAGCTCCCTCACCCACCTGCCCACTCTCCCACTAACCCACCCACTCATCCATTCATTCACTCACTCTCCAACTCCTCCACCCGCAACCTTACAATTCACCCATCAACCCACCCACTCGCCAATATCCCCCCCACCCCCACAGGAGAATGGGCGCAGCATGAGGCAGGCACTGTGCGGCAGCTTCGACGCGCTATACGCCGCGCTGGAGGAGCGCAAGCGCGAGATGCTGCAGATCATTGGCCACGAGACAGACAGCAAGACGCAACGTGTGCGGACGCTGGCCGCGCAGTGCTCCCAGCACCTCGAGCGCTCCTCCAAGCTCGTCGAGAGCGCCCTGCACTCTATGGATGAGCCCGAGATGGCCGTGTTCTTGCAGGTGTCAGACCCGGGGGTTAACCCACACTCTCACTCACCATTACACTCAAACCACATGCCCACTCACCAACCCACTCGCTCACTCACCCATTCATTCCCTCTGCCACCCACCAACAGAGCCAGACACTCACTCGCCCACTCACCAATCCACTCGCTCACTCTCCTGATCACCAAAAAATCCGCTAACACGCTCATCCACCCACCCACCAATCCGCTCACTCATTTTTCCCACCCACCAATCCGCTCACCCACTCACCCACTTACACTCTCTCCAATTCACCAACCCACCCACTCACCCACTCTCCCATTCACTCACTCACACACGCACCCACTCGGACCGTCTTCCACCGAATAGTGCCACTATCGCATTAGGGGCGGGGTGATCGGCTGCTCAGATTTTCATTCTCTGTGCGCTTCTCCTCTGTCCTCTGCATCTAACAAAGTCACTGACTCACCCCCTGTAGGCCTTACCTGCAGGCCTGGCTGGGCAGCCCCACGGGCAGCAAAGAGCTCTTCTGCCACGTGTGCCGTTAGGGTCCACTCTGACCTTCCTCCGCCATCTGTGCCACTTGGCTTCCTCGCCTCCCTATTTCTATGCTCCCGATATTTGAGCGTTAACTGTATTAGTCACATCAAGTTATTTTGCAGGGCTATGATTTGACATTGCTACCACTTTGTTTGAATAAGTTTCTTAAAAGTATCCGGAGTTCGGACCGGGAATTCAAAAGGCAAATACTTTGAGCGTGATATTATTTTCACTCCGAATATTAATTGTGTATGTACAATGAAGAGCTATGCCTTTGACAATAATGTAGGGCAGATGTTCAGCAATTATTTGAGTAATTAGCAGTTACCTCCGCTTCTACTAAAGGTCGCTACTTACAATGCGTGGTCATACCTTTAACGTTGCATCTTTTTTTTCATTTTATTTTTCAGAATGCAAAACCTCTCCTGAAAACGCAAGTACAATTTTACTTAACTATAATTTATTTAACCGCTGAATAGAAATGCTGGAATTTCACAAATGTAAACATCTACTTACGGGGATAGTCAGACCTCATCGCGGGTTCTCAGAATGTTGACAAATGAACGACTTTCACAAATAATCTCTACACCGCATTTCGTTTTATTTCGCTTTTGTCATCTTGGCAACCCAGGTCACTCTTGCAAATGAGACTCATCCTGGTCTCTTGAGATCTCACCACCTGGTTAAAAAATAAACGTGACTTGATTGAATATCACAGGTAAACAATACTATGCACCTTGTGGTGTCCATCAGATTCACACCTAAGGCAATGCATAATCTCCTAACCTATGACCTCCACTCTAAGAGAGATATTACAGACGTAGCCAACCATGCAGGCATGAACAATTTTACAGTTCACACACTGTAGGTGAAATTGGAAAAGAGGAGTTGCTATTGAATGGGGCACGTGTGCAGGCTGGAGGGAGGGCAGGTTACCGAGACTGGCCTCGGAGTGGGTGCCAAAGGGTCAGAGAGCAGGACGTTAAGCAAGACAGCGGAGGGGGGTGAGGCTGTTAGAGCAGACTTTGGAGGTCAGATGTTGACTGCAAAGAAAGGTAGGAATGGCAGTGATGGCTAGTTATGGTGACATCATTGGAACGGCTGTGATGACCTCTTGACCTTGACTTGAGGCTCTCTCAAGCAGGAGTCAGCAGTGCTGGATGCTGGACAGCACTTGGTGCTCATGGGACGTGGCCCAGCGGTCGTTGTGTAAATTTGCAGTTCGAGCCCAGCGGCTACCCTGGTTAATGCTACGGATGTATTGGCAGTTTGAATTACCCAGAATACTTTGCCCTAATTGGGTAGAGGAGGCGTAGAACACAGTAAAATAGAACGTCTTTGCCACTGACCCAGAGAGCAGGTTCTCCCGCCTAAGATGTTACAGCCACCGCTGCTGCCCGATGTCCACAGCCGTTGAGAATACATTGTATCCACTGCCGCCTGTTCTGCAGTTAGGAATGGCGCCGCCCCCGGGGTTACCTCCGTGATACGTGAATCAAACAAATCACTCGAGACATCGCTATGGCATCAAGATCAGTTCATGCGAATGCTGTCGCAAGAGGTCGCACGTTTGGCGCAGCGAGCGGTCCTTCGCCGACCATGCGTGATGAATGAATGAATGAATATATTGGCCTAAAAAAAATAATCGCCATCACCGTCACGGTGGACGTCTTGAATCCCATGACGTCATTCGGGTGAACAAAAAGAGTAGGCAATGGGCGATTGCATCATAACTTCAGCACTCGCTAACCACCAGATTGGGAAGCCGCGTGGCAACTTCGCTCCCCGCTACTGGCAAACTGACGCCCACCTCTTCTTTGGTTCTTTCGGTAAAGTCACGTAGAATGAGAATAAAATAATAAATTGATAAAATAAAATAACACAATAAAAATTCTCACGACGTTTCGGCCACAACACAAGCGGCCTTCATCAGGTGAAGGGACGAGACTGTCTGGTAGGACAGCGCTGGAGTGAAAGAGCCACGTTCAGATCACGGCCTTTAAGCTGTGCGAGAGGAACAAAGCGCCTTGACAAAAAGCTTTAAATCGAAATTTAACGCCCACCTGCTGTCCGGCGCTGCTCTCAGAGACAGCTAACACCGGGGGGTGGGGGGGTGGGGGGGGGTCTCCTCGAGACTGGAGGTGCGCTATCAGGCGATGACGACGTTGCTGTGCCGCCGCTCGTGTGCGGTGCAGGATCCTGGAGACGTCGGAGGAGGCCGACGTGCAGGAGATGGAGGGCGGATTCTCCAGCATGGATCACTTCTCGTGCGACTTCACCCAAGTGGAGGAGAAGCTCCGAGGACTCGACTTCAATCCGGGTACCGCTGATAGTACAGCAGCGGGCTGCTGATGCTCATCAATGTGAACTATGATCATGAACAGCCCTTTTGGTCGATCCACGTGGGGATGAAGACCATCCAGTGTCACGGTTGGTGTAAGGGTTGTTTAACCACACGTCACCCACGTTGGCCGGTGAAGGTGGGAGGAGATCCAGGAAGCGCTTTCAGATATAGCTCACCACTAATCTCAGCCGTTGCTGGGAAATGGAACTCATGGGTTTATAGTTCGGCATGGTAATTGCTGCACCGCCACTCTACCACGTGATGCGCATTCAGGACTGATTTCCCATGGTCACCCTGGGAACAGAGGACTGCTTCTTGATGGGCACCGGTGATTGCACAGAACTGGTCACGGATCGGGACAATGATTAATTGCGCAGTTGTGGTCCCTGGTGGACACTCTTTACACCTTCAATTAATCACAGCTCAGATACATAAGTCATCAATAATAAAAGATCAAACGGATTGAAAGTCACGATTTAAGGAACGTGATAACAAACGGCACTCAATTAATAAAGTATATATATTAACTTTCATATTTATCAACATAAGCCTGAAACACAAATGACTGGATGACTGGCGGCTCATGTCGCCCGTGTCAGAGAATCTCGCAAGCCCCACATGGACCTCGGTTTGAACCTGGGTTTCAGCAGTGTCGACAGGATCAGCCCGGCCCCCAACGGCTGAACGAAACAACTATAACACTAACATTGGTTAATCACTTGGACAAATGAAGATTATTAAATAAAGTATACGTTATTAGTCGCCATGTGTCCTGCGGTAAGTCTTCATTGTGAAGAATGAAAGGGCCCCACCTAGTGTGAGTGATGGAGACCTTTTAATGTGACGTTATAAATACGGGCCAGTCCTCGGGTTACGAACCCAATTCGTTTCTGATACCCGTTTCGTAGGTCGTACGGTTCGTAAGTCGGAACACAATAATTATTAACTGTATTTACATTTCGATTTAAAGCTTTCGTGACTGCAAGGATTCATCTTCTTTGGTTCTTTCGGTAAAGTCACGTAGAATGAGAATAAAATAATCAATTGATAAAATAAAATAACACGATAATATTCTCACGACGTTTCGGCCACAACACAAGCGGCCTTCATCAGGTGAAGGGACGAGACTGTCTGGAGGACAGCGCTGGAGTATTTAAATGTCAATACGGTTAGTGTTATGAAAAATGTTACGGTTCAACAAAAAGGGAAGCATTGTTAAACTCGTAATTAAGAAGAAATATTGAAATATTGTACATTTGCATGTAACACTGTACAAAATGTTGTACAGTAAATAAAACATAAAATAAAGTAGCATATGTAGAAGAAATCAGTTTTATTTTCACTTGCCCTGAGTCCTGATGCATAGCTTGCTTGTCGGAAGGGGGCAATGAGTAACCACAATTGCACGCACACACACACAGACATACATGCACACAGGCACACACCCCAAGGACAACGATCCTCCGTGTAGCCTGTAGCAGACTGTAGGGGCAAGTGCTGTTAGCGAGCACCTATGAAGGCCGGCAAGGCACACGAGGGGGTGGGTGGCCAGGGCCACGCCGGGCCGCCTTTGTCTCCCCAGTGACGATGTTTACACACCGCACCAGGTTCTCACTTGAGGCTGAGTCGACCTAGGGGAAGCCCAGGTCCCATTCAGATAATTATCGTCACTGATGTTGGCCGTGAGCGGGAATTGAACTTCGCTCGCCAGGTTGGCAGTACAGCACAGCGCTAACCGTTGCACAACCGCTCCCCCCCCACACGCACACAAAGACAGGCTGGAACGATACACGAGGGGATTGACTGACACCACGCCCGACCGCCTTTGTCTCCCGAGTGATTAATTTGCATTGAGAAATGCTGTAACAATGCGCGCTTATGCACAACAGTGCATATCGCGAGACCTTGTATTCAACGTGCACAGATTTCAGCACTTTTAATTGAAAGCATTTATATCAACAATGATCATTAGTAGAACATTTTGCCAATTAATATAGCGATAACATTAGGGCATGATTCAAAATCGTGATCGCGGTTCTCACCTGCTCGCTCCACTTCAGCATAACCATGTTGCCCTCGGCGCGTCTGAACGGGTGTGACAAAGCTAATGATAATACTACTTATTACGATTATAACTGCGTAATTATTTTTGCAACTGCAATGATATCATTCCTGTCAATCCCTTATCAGCGCCTACCTTATTACAGATCAATTCACTCCTTAATGGTCACCCCGTGCCCCTTATAAATTTAAACGTCCGTCCTACAAAGTCCCATCACAAGGGAGAAACACAAATAAACAGACACAACAAATGTGCCCTTATTGAAGCGGCTGTATGCCGTATTGGCCTTGAAAGCTCAATTTCCCTGTACAAGAATACGTGGTAAACCGTATGGGTTGACAGCTGTGTTTTTAGTAGCTTTGCCCGGGTACTTGCGGTTATCTTTTGTGAATGTGGAGTGGCTCAATCAATGTTCATAAGGTGGTGAATGGCGTTACAGCAACGGTTAAGATTCTGCTGTGCCATGGGGCCCGTTATAACGTGCCCACAATGTTGCGCGAAATAATACCGCGCGTGCGATTGTAGGCAAGTGCGCTGATTAAATCACGATTCATCGTGTAATCTGCAAGTAGCAGCGCAATGCAGCAGGCCTAGCAGTAGCTGGGTAAAGGGTCTCTGATTGACCAGTCTGGGCCACGTTTGTTTTATTGAAGCGTGAGCGATGGGGCGTTGGTCGTCTCGCCATGTGAAGACAGCGGGGCGTGCTCACGGAGGTTGACCATTAATCGGGGTGTTTTTGGGTGATGCAATCAAAGGCAATTGTTTAGATGAACTTCAATAGGGGGTAGGGGGTAATTGTGTAACTCACAATAAAGGTTTTTGGGATAGATCACGTTATTTGTAAATGTGTCGTAACCCTCCACCATCCGAAACGGCCAATCAGCAAAAAAGTGTCACGTTGACAAAACACATTTAGTTCACTACTTTAGCCCACCGGTGTGTTGAAGAGTGAATCCACAACATTTACAGTTTGAATACAACGTTTCGCTGGTAATTATATCCAGCATCATCGGGCAATTCGCCAGAATGGTAAAGCCCTCACTTGCTCTCGGTCTTAAATAGTGCAGCAGGGTAACGTCATCATTTAACTCATTTCTACGTGTTAAACTGAATTGTGTAACTGTTGGATGTGCGGGGCCAGGTTAACCGTGTGCTGGGTTAGGGATGGTGCCGTTTGTGGGGCTCTTGGCCCCCCCTAAATGTCGACTCGCCGTGTAGCTTAAGGTTTTCCCACGGGGTTTTAAAAGGCAAACCTGCCAAGCCTGGTGGCGTTAGCATTTAACGGCATGGATTTGTATTCAGGACATTCACAGCGGACCTCTATGACTGGACAAGAGGTTTCCCCTTGTAGCTGGGCACGACCGTTCGTGATATAATATAGGGGGGCGGGGGGGCGATATGTGAGTATTAATTCCAAAAATTAAGGGGAAAAAAACACAAAAAGGCCCAGGATCGGAGGGACCTGGACCGGTTCTTTAAATTAAATCTTGAATCGCGAGACGACGAATCTGTGTGTACAACATGTCAGCTCGTCGGGCTTCGTAGATCCGCAGATATCGAGCGTCAAGGATTTGAAAGGATATAAACAGATGACAGGTCAAGTTCAATGAAAGTGTGCTGCAGTAATGATAAAAAATAACGTTGATTAAAAAAAACACACACACAATCTTTGACGACGATGATGAAATCACTGAAACCAGGGCCAGAGCCGGCGCAAGCCTCAGGCGAGGACGCGACGGAGGCCGAGTGGCTGGCCAATGAGCAGGCTCAGTGGGCGGAGCAAGAGGCGGAGCTCGGGCAGGACGTCCAATCAGGATGGAGGTCGCCTCGGCCTGACCAGAAAGAGGAGGAGCCACAGACGCAGCCGCAGCCGTCGCCGCCAGAGGGCGCCCGCGAGGAGACGCTGGGAGCCACGGCCGAGGTATGGGCAACGCAGCTCCTCCGGTGAATTCAACAAGAGACGGGAAACGTTCCAGGTCCCAGGTTCATTGGCCACTCGGTTGGATTTCTCTATATGGGAACGGGGGGGGTAGTATTTTATTGAATCCTCGTGGATTCGCTTGAATGTGGAAGCCGGTGGTTCTTAACCGCGCCCATGCTCCTTTTCTGGGGGTGCGAGACGTGGCCAGATGAATGTTTTAGAAGGTAAATCATCGCAACACAAATTAAGCACGGGCACGTAAGTACAACTGCATCGTTTCAAAATAAAATTACGATGGCGGACCAAAGGGGTGCAAGGCTGCACTAAAGGTTCAGAACGACTGGTCTAAGCGGTCACTCTTCAATGGCCATTGGGCACTGGTGGCATCACAAGGGAAGGAAAAACCCATGCCTCTGCTTGGATTATCTGAACACTTTTTTTTACATGATGGGACCTCCTTTGCCAGTACTTATTAACCAACCCCAGAAATATATATTTTAACAGTACAGACCATGACAGTGCCTGTCATGGTAAAGTGTGTTTGCTGGATTGAGTCTCCACATTTTTGAGCAGCCCAATGATCAATGTGACCGATTTCCAATAGGGCGGGTCCCCCCAATAGCAACACGACTTTGTACTAAAGTTCTGTTCGTACCGAATCATTTTAACAAGAGTTAGTGTGGCCTCTCTCTTAAAAACAAACGGACGGACAGACAGCGAATGCATGAACGCTTTCAACCCAGAAATCATTACAAATGTTACAATGAAAGACCCTTTGATGGCAGTACAGTAAGTTATGTTAAATTATGTAAAAAAAATCTACAGGTGGATATGACATACCATGTATTTCAAAAGCACAACTTAACTTTTTGGAGCAAGAACCTGTTCCTTGGCAGAGTTTAACTTTTCCACCCACAGCTAACCCAGTAGTGTGTGTGTGCAACTGCGGGAATGAATGACTTCACCACTGGCATAATTTGTTGTTGATAGCAGTCTAATCACCCTGTCTTCCACCACCAAGTTGTGAATGGATTGTTAATTAAGAAACAATTTTTTTTGTCAAATCCATATTAGTATGGTGTTTGAGTTAGAGGAGCAGCGGGCGAAGTGGTTAGCGCATTGCACTGTAACCCCAACATCCTGGGTTTGATTCCTGCCCATGGCTAACATCAGCAGTGACGCCTCATATGGACTTCCACTTCACCAACCCGCACTGACTAGTTTGATGATGTATGGTCAAACAACTCCCACGACTGACACAGCAGTGGATTGACAAAGGCCGGCTGTAAATGATTGCTATTAATACTTATGAAGGTGTGAATATCAGGAGTTCAAAAATAGCAATTCATATGCATACTGTGTTTGGATAAATGATTCAACATTGGTTTTAGATATACATTACAGTAAATACTAACCCCTGAATGCTAATACCTCCAAAAATGTTGATCCAATGTATGGTGCATGCTTAGATACTTTCCTCAAACTCACACATACATGCATTTTTATCTATCGTATTCCGTGTGCAACCTGTGTATGAACACACTGTTTAGGATGAATATAGTTTAGAAATGTTATCATTAAACAAAAATTGGTCCGTACATTATCATGTTAGGTCAATTGACTTGTAGCTTATTATTTTCTATGAATGTTTATGTTGCAAGGCAGCATTGATTGTTAAAGACGATTCCACATCCACTGCCAACGTAACCAGTGAATATCGCTATACAGTGGCAATTATATTGCCTGTTCACCCCTGCCATAGGAATGTGGAATTTACACAACCAGCTTAAGGGTTATTTGCGAGCACCTATGAGGGCTGGCACAGCACACAAGAGGGTTGCATGGCCAGCACCACCCCCAGCTACCATAATCTCCCCGGTGCTGATGTTGACACACTGCACAATGTACTAATTTGAGGCTGAGTTGACCTAGGGGAAGTCCAAGGCTTGGTGGGAATTGATCTTGGGTTGGTGGGTTCGGAGAGCAGTGTGATATCCAGTGCACCACTGCTCCCCTTTCATATATTCCACGTATATATGCATACACAAAGACAAAGTTCCCTGCATAACCATAAAAGACTGTTTGGGCAAGTGCTGTTAGAAAGTACCTATGAAGGCCAGAGGGGGTGGGTGGCCAGCAACACGCCCGTCCGCCTTTGTCTCTTGAGTGGCGATGTTGTTAAACACCGCACCAGGTACTCAATTGAGGTTGAATCGACCTCGAGGAGGCCCAGGACCGGTTCAGATAACCGTCACTGGTATTGGCCATGAGCGGAAATTGAACTCGGGTCACCGGGTTTGTAGCGTAGCGCTAAACGCTACACTTATATTTATATGCATGCACACATACGCAAGTGCACGTGCTAAATGTTTTTACTCGACTTTCGATTGAAATAATAGCGAATAGTGTTACGTGATATTATAAAACAGAATGGATCAAAAGGCCCAATGGAAGTGCATTGAATGTGTCACATTTCACGGCTCCATGTCACCACCACATCGCGGTCCATTCCACGCTTTACACAAGCCCACTGCACGCTGCCCGTGTGTTGCTGCCGATGCATCTAAGATCGATGTTTGGGTTTCTATGACCTCGCTTCTCTCGTAAATACAGGGAGCATTAGCAGTCCTTGTCTGGGTGCTGGCACGGTCATCGGGCATCTGTCCTGCGCGCAAAGTGATGCCAAATCTCAATAACCTCTCACCTGGCTGAATTAATCACATAGGACTTCATGTCAATTTCAGAAATCGATCAGCGACGGAATGATTCAAGCAGTCCTGTGAGAGAGACATATTGAGATGAAACTATCTATTGCACGAGGGATCCATAAGTGAAACCATGAGAATAAAATGCCCGGTACAAATAAACACTTCAGCGGAGGGAAGCAGCATCAATTAAAACACGAATCTAATAAAACAAAGATTTGCGAAGATGTAAACAAATTGATGTAAATAGCAAACATTAACATTTTTAACATGTTTACATGCGGTGTAAACGACAGCAAATATCATAAACAACTGAAATATACCGTTTATAAGTGTATTCAAGAGATAAAGTGCAACGGTAACTGGAATTTAAAACGAATAATGCATTTGACTGCCAGGTGAGAGCAATTTGAGGAAAGAGCCTTTATGTGCATAAGGGAGATTCTGAGTTCAACATAGGGAGGGTCACGTGCAAATCTCATTGCATAAGCAAAAACGATTAATCGAGCAATTATAAACGAAACATGGGGAACATGTGGAAGTCATAGAAATAACTACAATGCAGAGTAACAGTGTACATAGCTAAGGTAGTTAAGTTTTGCGATCCATGGCAATAATCTGTCATTGTAAACGCATTGCGAGGTGTGGGTAGACACACTTCACCCACACGGGTATAAGAGCATCGACACAACACGTTCTGACAAGCGAATGGGATGAAACGTTGCAGCACTCATCTCTTACGGAGTTCAAAATCTCAGTCGATGGTTGACCCGGCTAAATCACCTCTCTTCAGGGTCAACGAAATGAGTAACCCCCGTGTGTTGAGTGACCAGCGGTTGTTGCGTACAGAAACCAGACCCTGGCATAGGACATGTGAAATCTCCACTGCTGGATCGGTTGCACTAATGTAGACGAACACCACCAACCCAAACCCATACCCATTTGGCATGGGGGTCACTCTGAAGTGTCTCCTTCAGATTGTACAATTTTGAAAGAGAGGACACGGAAGCGAGCGGCGAGCGTCGTGACGCAAATTGCCTTGGCCGAGTCCGCGTGGGTGGCGGCTGTCTCTCTCTCTCTCTCTTGTCTCCATTAACGGCGAGAGAGACGCCCCCGTCAGCAGTGACCAACTCCCCCCCCCTCCCCAACCCCCCGAAGACCCTGGTAACTGTCAATGGGATTTGTGGCGGCCAGGCAGCAGGGAGCGCCCATGGGGGACATGAGGGTGACAGGCAGCCCGAGGCTCAGTTCTGGTCGCGCGGGGAGGAGGAGAAGGAAGTGGCAGAGGACCCGGTGCCGCAAGTGACCAGGCCCTGGGGGCCCGGGGACGCGCGGCCTCGTCCGCCGGAGCCCCGTGTCGACAGCGCCCCTGAGCCGGCCCTGCCCACAGGTCAGTGCTTGCCGTCACCCCCCCCCCACCCCCCGCCGAAAGTTGCCGCGTTGGACGAGTAGAGTAGAGCGGGAGGGGCGGGGGGGGGGATGGTGGCAGTAAGTAGCCTAGTCACCTGGCTCGCATGGGCCCTGGGGCCTCCCCCTGTCCGATTTGCAACCGTGTCTTCGTAGTCCCTCGGGTTCGCGGAACCTGACGCGGCTCCAACCGCCGGCACACGCTTAATAGCTACGCGCGCTGGGTCCTGTGTTAGTTTTGCCGGTTCTGTATACTTCTGTGGGGTCCCTTTGCGAGTCTGTGGATCTCGTTGTAAGTCCACCGGTCTGCGTGTGAGACGACAGGTCCTGTGGGTCACGATGTAAGTCTTTGGGTCTCAGTGGCCTAGTAGGGCGGGTCGGCATGAGCCCCGATGCAAGGACTGAAATGGGCCTTCCCCTGTCCGAATTCCAACCCCAATCGTCGTGACCCAACGCCTCGGGCCCCTTGTGGTCCACGGGCCCCAGGACAGTTGCACCGCCTCCACAGGCATTAGCTACGCCACCGCATGGCACACGGAATGTGTCAACTCAACCTCAATTGAGTACCTGGAGGTCTGTGAAAAAGAGCTTCATAGCTCATCATATTCCTCCAGTATAGATACATATTATGATTCTGGTGCGGTGTGTAAACATCGCCACGAGGGAGAAAGAGGCGGTCGGGCGTGGTGCTGGCCACCCAACCCCTCGTGTGCCGTGCCGGCCTTCATAGGTGCTCGATAACAGCACTTGCCCCTACAGTCTGTTCAGGCTACACGGGGGATCTTTGGTGCTGCCGACTGCTGTGGTGTATGTTGGTCTTGGATGGGTGAACATTGTGCAGAGTTAAGCGCCTGGCCGAGGAACTGTGTTCTTGCTATAAATTATTTGTCCTCCATGGAACGATTGTAATTATAAAACCTACGGTGCTCAGGAGGCATTGGCATTTCTTTAATGATAGGAAGGAAAGTTATTGGCCGGCGGGTCTTTTTACAATTTTGTATTTTCCCAATAACTTTAATTTAATAAGCAAGGTGACCTTGTTCCGGTTTATATTTCTCAGAGTCTTGTTAGCAAGGTATGGCCATCCTCAACCAAAGCCACTCGGTGCCCCTCAACATTAAGGATGCAGGAACTGTCACCCAAAAAACAACATTTAGTCACAGGTTGAATCGCAAGAAAATACCCACAAGGGTTTCACTCGTAACAAAAGAATCGCTGGAATAAATGCACACAGTACACGTAGGTAGGTAGGGTTTGCCTAACCACGAAAACATAACATTCAATTCATTTCATTATGATCGTTCCAGTCTCGCGCACTTCTTGCCATTTTGCGAATGTCTGCTCCACTCGTATTACCCGTCTCACCACAAATGTCTCGTCTCATCGCGCGCCGCCGTTCATTGTGTCCGCACCGCCGCTCGCGCCGCGCCCACGCTCGCTTCCCATCTCACACCACCGTGTGCTGTTGTTGCGTCTGCCATCAGGAGTTAGCCTTCTGCATTGCAATCATGGCTGGACTGCTCATTCTGCTGCAGCTTTGGACTCAGGTTGAGAAGGCCGTGGCTCTCACCCGCTCTGCCATCCCATGGACATAGGTCCACCCTTCATCAACATCATCATGACCATCACCATCATCGCCAGGTACTCGACCCAGAGCCATGAGGAGTTAAGTGCCGTGTACCTCGATCAGGCCCTCCCATGCTGACTGAAGGGTTCTTATGGGCAACCCAGTGAACGTTGAACGTTAGACCAACGTTGATCGAACACGTGCCAACGTTGACCGAGCGTTGCGTGTTTACTGAGAAAGCATGGGGGGCAGTGTGATCACGTATCTGCACTAATTCTGTTTACGTGTAAACCCACGTCATTTGCTGCGTCAATCCAAGCACGGAATAAAGGTTAAAGGAGCCGCATTACATTTTGCTCCAATATTTATTGCTGCTAATTTAGTCCACCATACATTCCATAATTCCTAAAATGATAATACTGCTTTGTGTTCAATCGAAAGCACCTGCCCTGTGGATAACTTTTATTGTGGTACTGCTTTGGCAGCGGTGCACAACCACAAATATCACAAAGCTCAACCGCGTACGTGTTGAGTTTTTGTTTTGTGGCAAAACTATCCCCCTTCCATATAAATGTCGAATTCCCGTGACTGGCAGAGGGCCACAGATGGAGGAGGGCACTGCCCCCTATTCATCATTTGAGAGGGGAGACAATTTGACTTCTTCACCAGGCCAATCAAGAATAAGTGGCTGTCCTTTGTACAACAGCCATTAACTATATACTATGGCCTATCACGGCATGATTTTCATAGAAAATTTAGATATTGTAAACAAACGAATGGCAATTAAGGCGCTGGTTATATCATTCAGGGGTGGAGCGGTGCCGCAGTGGTTAGCGCACTGCTCTCTTGTAACCCGCTAACCTGAGTTCAACTCACGGCCACGGCTAACATCAGTGGCGAGTGGTATTTGAGCCAGCCACGGTTATCCCCTACACCAGCGCACGCTGTCCAGTTTAGTGAAGAATGGACAAATAAAACCCTATGACCCGACATGGCGTGGGAAGACATTCAGCCAGCAGTGGAAATAAATAAGGCTGTATGCAGATGACCAGATTCAAGCCAGCACATTTACCGGTGATAGGACGTATTTTAATGGGTTATGAGAGGGCCCATAAACCATTAATTCACGTACCACTGTCCCCTTGTGCCTTGTTACCATGAACCCAGATTGCTACATCATGTGTTGACGTGGCTCCTGGTTTTTAAGCGAGCAGCCCCTTCCGGCAGAGCAGACTGAGCAGCCTCAAACTCAGTAACAGGGCCCAATTAAAAACTCATATCAGGTTTGACCTCAGGTGCTGAAAACCGAGAGGTTAGCTCATCGCATAAGGACGCCGCCTAACAAAATTCCATTACCATTTCCATTCCACTAACCATAGGTGAACGATGCACCGCAGACTGACCTTTACTCGGAAATTTTAGAGAGACACCGGGAAGTATGGTGAAAGGTTGTCTCTGAGAAAAATTACCTTCATTGACCTGCTCCCACTCCTAATATTAAATCCCAGGAACAGCTTGTTCCAGTATGGGAATGCGTCTAACAGGAAGGTGGTTCACATCAGAGCTGTATAAAGAAGCGCAGGGCTCCCAATGAACACTGTCAAGTCTGCCCACTTATACATAGGTTACACTCGGGGGCATTTTATCCGCACTTACGGTTAATTTGGCGGTTAAGTCTCACCTGGGTCTCACCCTGTCCAGCCACGCTACCGCACCACTTGCAATCGGGCATTGAAATGCAGTCGAAGCTGGATATAAGCACACCCGATAAAAATAAGCGCAGTTCTGAGACTGTATAAGCAACACATGTTGACATAGTGGGGGCAGATGGCAAAGGGCAACTTCAGATACAAGCACAACTGTCCTTGCTCCCAGGGGGGGGGTGTGCTTATTTGCGGCCCATACTGCATTGAATTGAATTGCCAGTCAGGCTGTTATTACTGCAGCGTGTGGATGATTCATCACCCCTTCCGCCACTTTAGTCGTCCTCAAGCATCGTCTAGCGTGGCTGTAATGAGCTGCCCATGTTAACACTGTCCCTGAGAATTCCGCACAGAACTCGCGGTGCCAGTAACACTGCTACTGCAGCCTTGAATTTGTCTTCATATTGATATCTTTGTTGCTGCAAGGTGTGCCGCTGATGAAACGTTTGATCGCAGCGCTCCTGTGTTCTCTTCGCCAGGTGTAGATATGTCCGAATTTGAGTTTTGAAGTGAAGAAAACTCCCAAGGAAAATGCAAGGGAATAAAAATGTGACGTCAAAGGAGCCGCGATTGTCGCAAGAGCCTTGGACGCCGAACGTCAATCACCTCATCCTGCTTTTAATTTTAGAGTTCGTGTTTAACCGTTTTGTTATCATATCTGCATGACAATGTGTTGATCCACTGGGGGGAAAAGTCTTTACAAATGGCCCACCGAAGTTTCAGCTTCACTTTGGATTTCATGCAGAGCACAATGGAATGTTTGGCCTTGGATAAGCACGAATGGCGGTGTAGAAATGTGCACGTGATGATAATCTGCATTGACGGTAACCAGGGTCGCCACATGTTACACAGTAGAACAAACCCAGACACAGTTCTCAGTCGGCCAAGGTCCATCGTCAAAACTGTGCAAATTTACTGCAATAAGGTTCTATACGATGCCACCAGATCTCGGTGCAAAATAAATTCCTGCCAACCGACACAACCACTTGCCAGACTGTCAAATCCGTACAGGTGTTAACCCGAATGGCAACAGTATGTCTATGTGCATAATTACAAACGATGCCCTTTGCTTGTATTACACTACACAGGGTCGATGGCTTGATTTCTAACCCGATATGTTCCCGTAACACTGCTAGGCTGACTTAGAGCATGGACTATCGGCGTCAAAGAACTACCACTAGATTACAAGGTACGGCACATCCAAAATAATCCTATATTATTGCACCCTATATTCGGAAGGCGATTAGGTTTATACCTTTCTAGGCTTGATTTAAAGGTTGGCAATGGAGATGAGTACTGCCCCATTGCTTGTTTGGGCAAATAAATTCGAACATGTTAAGTGTAACCATGTGTGGTCGCGCACACCTGTAAAGAAGTCGGTTTGATTGATGAGTCAGCACTCGCTGATTGACTACAGTCACCCGTTTACCGGCAGTAGTTGCCTCCGTGTCACTCTACTATCGATAACTGCCGTGGTCACAGTTACCACGCATGGATTCCTCGCCCCCTTTTTGCGGATTTTGTTTACCGTATTGTGTTCAACCAGCACACTGCAAGTCATAAACTCCCACTCGCCACAATGCAAGTCACAACAACTCACCCACTCACCACACTGCAGGTCACAAAAACTCACCCACTCACCACACTGCAGGTCACACCAACTCACCCACTCACCACACTGCAGGTCACAACAACTCACCCACTCGCCACACTGCAGGTCACAAAAACTCACCCAGTCACTCACCCGCTCACCACACTACAGGTCACAAAAACTAACCCACTCACTCACCCACTCACCACACTGCAGGTCACAACAACTCACCCACTCACTCACCACACTGTAGGTCACAACAACTCACTCACCCACTCACCACACTGCAGGTCACAACAATTCACCCACTCACTCGCCACACTGCAGGTCACAACAACTCACCCACTCACTCACCACACTGCAGGTCACAACAACTCACCCACTCACTCACCACACTGCAGGTCACAACAACTCACCCACTCACTCACCACACTGTAGGTCATAACAACTCACCCACTCACCACACCGCAGGTCACAACAACTCACACACTTACCACACTGCAGGTCACAAAGCTTATCTTTCTGCTTCTTCCCTCGAACTGCTCCACTTTGGAATTCCCTTCCGTAGACTCTTTTCCCAAATTCTCACAAGCGTGCTCAATAAATAAATAATCCAGCATGTTGGAGTTGGATTGTATTATTGGGCCTTATGGAGATGGAGCCTGTGCAAGACACATTCGATAAATGATGCCCAGAGTAGCGTGCACATTAACGATGGTGTCGCGTGATGCCGTGCGTTTGTGGAACCCAAACTGGATTGAAACAAATTTTGATTTAAAGCTTTCGTGACTGCAGTAATTCATATTCTTAGTTCTTTCGGTAAAGTCACGTTGAAGGGAAACAATAAAATAATAAAATATATATAAAACAATAAAAATTCTCACGACGTTTCGACCATAACACAAACGGTCGTCATCAGGTGTGTCGGTCTGAAGACGACCGTTTGTGTTATGGTCGAAACGTCGTGAGAATTTTTATTGTTTTATATATATTTTATTATTTTATTGTTTCCCTTCAACGTGACTTTACCGAAAGAACTAAAAATATGGATTGAAACACCCCAAGAAATGCAATATCATTTCTTCACACGCATCACAAATCTACCCTTTCCACTGCACGACTTCATAAAACACACACGTTAAACCCACTTAAAATAAATCTACTTTTTCACCTATATCACAGACTGGCTAGACTGCATTGGAAAGCCAAATCAGAACATGTTGAGGTGGGTCCTGGAAAGCGCAACAATCAGTCTCATGTGTTCGCCGAGAAATCGTGCCGGAGTGACATGTTCATCATGTATTTGAGTGCCGTGTTTAGGTAAGTTGTATTTCACCCTGCTCATTCCCATTCAGAACAATGTTTTTTTTTCTTATTAGGCGTTAAAAAGACAAACGCACACTGACCTGCGTGTGTCAATCAACTGACGCAGCATGACGGAGGCCTTCATCCAGCGGTAGATTGGCAATAGCTGGAAATTAGTGTCGTGACAATATTGAACACTAAACGGCTAACAACAGCGACAACAACAACAACAGCAACAACCATAGTTCGCTTAAAATATTCCAAACACAACGTCATCTTCCATCCAGAATTCTCCTTCTCCAAACGTGTATCGGTATGCCGGGCTCGTTCAGTACTGTGCTGCACGAAGCGAATCCCGCGAGGTGTCCCGCGCCAGTTGCACGAGTGAAGGGAACTGCGGGGTCGTTGCTTCGTGCTCACGACACTTGTCAACAAACGTACCACGTGATGGACTTTGGTCATCAACCACGGGCTTCATTTCTCGTGGATTGATTTCTGGAGGCTCTATGAAACGATACTCGTTGGTTCTTTCGGTAAAGTCACGTAAGGTACAAATAAAAAAATATATAATAATCAAATCACGGCGGTTCGGAGGCAACACAAACTTCCGTCATCATCATGTGTTGCCTCCGAAACGTCGTGATTTGATTGTTTTTTTATTTTTACCTACGTGACTTTACCGAAAGAACCAAAAAGATCATTGCAGTAACGAAAACTTCAAATCTAGAATCTATGAAACGATATTGTATTTTAATCATGTTAAGGTCCTCTGAGCTATCTAGCTCTGGCTATTACAAACGATACATTACGTGGACATTTATTGAAGTCAAATTATCTAATCGCGTGTTGTTTCTAAATGTGGAGGGGGGGGGGGACTGGGGGTACCTGGAGAAAAATCCACGCGACCATGACCGAGAGAGACACGCAAACTCCTAATATACATATTCCTAGTATAAAGCAAGCAGGCGTCAGGGTCGGGATCGAACTCACGACCTCCTGCATACCAGGCGAGGCAGTTGACATCTTGGCCACCATGGCGACCCCTCCTAATGCCCCCAAACCGTCAGGACCCCCGCTCCGACCCCCCTCCACCCCACCCCGGAGTTGAGCTGTGGACAGCTCCAGCTGAAATGTCGCCCTGGTCATCACAGTTTGGCAGAACCCAGGCTTGAGTCGGATGTAGACTACTGGTAAAGAGGAGGGATTATTCAATTGTATTATTCTGAGCGTGACGGGGTGGCGAGAACGATGTGTCCGAGAGAAAAAGAGGAAAATTGTGGAATCTATTTTAAGAGTTGAATGGAAGAGGCAGAGGTATAAGAAAGTGCCTTGATATGTAAAGCAATGAGATGAATGTAAAAAAAAAGAGCAAAAATAATTTGGTATTAATAATAGCCAGATTGCATTACTATGTTACGATTCATCATGCAAAAATACGTTAAATTAATTATAACTCGTTTCCAAATTGTTGACGTAGTTGCTTCTGCCTTTTGGTGATCAAGTAATTTGTGTGGGTTTTTTCTTCCGTGCGTGTTTATGTGCTGCAGCTGAAATAAAACTATTACATCGCAAGTCTTAATACTTGAGTTATGTTCCTTTATTGCTGTTTGAGCATTTCGTCACATCGGAGGCAAACGCGAAGAATGTGCAGCAGGTAAAACGAGCATCTCATGGGAGTATGAATATCTCGCCGTACGAGGAGAGGGGAAAACTTCGTGTAAATGCAAGGTCTTGAGTGGCGTGCTATTTGTTATTATCGCACAACTGACAAACGCGAGGACTTCGATCGGCCCAGGTAAAAATATGCGTGCGCACGTATGTTGAACTTCTTCCCAACCGTACGTAGTAGCCAACCGTGCTAATCGGAGGTGCGGGATGTCCAGAATAGACACCTCGTTCGAGACCCAAAGATCGCACCTCCTGCCTTTGACATCATCGACTCTGGGTGGAACCATCAGCCGCATCAGAACAACAACAGACCACTGCGCACATCTCCTTCATGAATTCAAAATTAAAGACACTATGTACGTGTGTTGAACTTCTTTCGCACCGTACGCAGCCAACCGTGCTAATCGGAGGTGCGATTTCTCCGGATGAGAGATTTCCCAGATACAGATCTCCCACGGTGGAATCTGCCACCTCAACAAACAGGACGACCACCCCCACCACCCCCCCCCCCCCCCCCCCGAGAAAGCCTGGACAGGTGGCAACCTTCCACAGAACAACTCGCTGCACTTCAATCGGCCCTCTATCCGCCCACCGCCGCTCTCCACCTTCACTCCTCAACCGCGGTGCACCGCGCGTCAACGCGCATCGGGTTCATCGTTGTCCGCGGGATTTTGTTGAAGCCAAATTCAAGACCGACCCTTGCGCTCCTTCGTTGAACGTCTCCGCTGCACACGGCTATGCTTGAGCAGCACAACCTCAGTGGTGCTGGCTCAACCCCCCTCCCCACCCACTCCAACATGGCCATGATAAGCATCTTGAGCCACCACCGTTCATCCCCTTATGAAGGTGCAGCCCTGCAATTGCTTGCGAACGCCACTGTTGGCAGAAGGGCGTTCATTAGAAGGAGCTCTAGAAAGCCCCGGAAGAGGTTATTTGACCTACTCGTCAATAAAGGTATTTTTTTGTTATTAGATCGCGTCAATATAAATGTCGTTAACCCATCACCGCCTGACACAGCCAATTAGTAATATTTAGCACGTGAACAAAGCGTGCCAATTAGTTACTACTTCAGCACACGGGTGCGTGGGGGGCTCCTATTGTCCTCGACAAAAAGCAGGATGGCACCTTGAGGTTTTGCGTGGATTTTAGGAAGTTGAACACGGTCTCTGTTGCCGATGCATACCCGTTACCACGGATGGATGATTCTCTAGATGCCTTGTCAGGGGTCCGATTCTTTTCTACCCTTGACTTACTTTCTTGCTTTTGGCAGTTGCTCTTAGACGATAGTTCCAAGCCAAAAACGGCGTTTCGTACCCCCCAGGGCTTATTTGAGTTCAACCGCCTTCCCATAGGGCTACATTCCAGTCCAGCCACGTTCCAATGGCTGATGGAATTGGATTTGGCAGGGCTCCAGTGGGATTCGTACCTCGATGACGTTATTGTCTTTGCGCGGACGTTCGAGGAGCACCTGCAGCGGTTGCGAGCAGTTTTCCTTAAAATGTGGGCGGCCGACTTGAAGTTCAAGCCACTGAAATGCTATTTCCTGCAAAAGTCGGTGCGATATCTGGATCACGTGGTCAGCGAATCCGGAATAGCGACGGACCCCGACAAAACGGCGTGCATGCGTAGGTGGCTGACCCCCAAGACGGTCGGTGAGGTGCGCAGTTTTGTGGGGTTCGCCTCCTATTACCGCCGATTTGTGCCCGGCTTTGCGCTATAGCCAAACCACTCCACGTCTTCACTGCCAAGGGCCAAAAATTTCATTGGGGCGTGGAAGAGGAGGCGGCATTTGTCGCGCTATGGACGGCACTGGTCAAAGCACCCCCTCTCCGCTATCCCAATTTCTCGCGACCCTTTCTCCTCGACACAGATGCCAGCGACACTGGGATTGGCGCTGTGCTGTCCCAGGTCGTTGACGGAGTCGAAAGGGTTGTGGCGTATGGGAGTCGTGTGCTATCCCCTGCTGAACAACAATATTGCGTGATGCGCCAGGAATTGCTGGCCATCGTACATTTTGTACAGGTATATCAGCCGTACCTCTATGGGAGGGCATTTCAGGTGCGGTCGGATCACGCGGCCCTTCAGTCTGCACTACGGGTTGAACAATCGTCCGGGCAACTC